TTTAAATAATCTTCAGGATTTCTGTTCTCCCCTATTTATCTTTGGATATCTATCTGACTCTCCAATCTCACATACACCCACATTTTGTCTTTCTCTGGCCCCTTTCTACCCCTCCCTCTTTCTCTCTCGTTATCTCTTTGCCTCCACACTCCCTCTATCCCCGGTCTCTCTCTCTCTCTCTCTCTCTTTATAGATCCCTCACTCTCTCTATAATAATAATAATAATAATAATAGCTTATATTTTTAAAGCGCTTAATACTAATGTATATTAATCTTAACCCCCCTCTCTCGCTCTATATATCACTCTCTCTCTCTCTCTCTCTCTCTTTCTCTTTATTGATAAAACAGGGATAACCCCTTGCCTTTGCTTTTTCTATCTTGGTTTTGATCACACTCACATCATCATTTTCTGATATGACTGGATTGGAAATAACATAAAATAACAAGACATGAATACTACATTGACCAAAACAAATAAATAATAACAAGCATAAAAAATAATGTGAGAGAGAGACTGAGAGAAATACAAAAATGAAAGGCAATCACTGTGAAATTCGAAATCTGAAATTCCGATTAGGTTCAATAAAATATATTCCCTTTATGTTCACACCTATTTCGTATCTGAATTTTCTCTTACATCTCTCATTCTTTTAGCTATACTGTGCTGCTCCTATTTTCCAAATAACCACAATTTAAGATATATTATATTTCAGAATTTCAGATTTATTCAAACTTTGCAATCGTATAAATTTGAGTCTTATCAAGCTTAAATTTATCAATACAGTATATATTATAGGGTATATACAGATTAAATGAAATACATGTAGATTGAATTAATAAGATGAATACATGATTGTATGTGCATTCATACACTTGTAGATTACATAAACAGGATATGTTTTTACATCAGCTTCCCTCACTTCAGAAGTAGCATAGGCACCTGCATTTATGAAACAAAAAATTCAGAATTTCCTGAGTGATGTTATATTTTACTAAGGCCATAGGCTGAGGATGAAATATAACAGCACTAGGGGGATTCTAAATTTGGAGGTGAATACATGTTGCACTGAACGAAAAAATTCATGCAATATTTGTTATATAAAATTGAGGGTATTTGCAACCTTTGGAGTCATGCCCTCTTGCTCACTTTCAGGTTGCCTTCGCATCAGATGCGTGCAGTTAAGACAATGCAAACAATGGGTAGGCAAAGTGAACTAGAATTGAAATGTGCGCAGTCTAATTCCCTTTTGCATGCGTTATAATATGAAAAATAAGGTCGTTATGTTACAGTCCTGCGAATATATGAAAAATGTAGAGTGTCACATGACACCGTTTTGGCTAGTAGGATACTCACTAATTAACAAATATATCAATCATCATCAAACTACAACCTGCACATTCTTTCGTCTCCTTTGGACATCAAAATATTGAAATATCTAAGGCACTGCAAAGTTCATTTCAAAATAATTCAAGATCATTCAAAATATAGAAAGACCTGTTTAGTACATCGGTTTGCATTACTTAATTCAGAATAAACTCACGGAACTGAGCGATTCACAATGTCTATTATGAAAATCAGAGTGGATTATAAAAATGACATCAAATAAAGAAGAGGATAGTGATGAAAAGGCAAGGTAATGGAATGCTCATAAGAGTAGTATCTACATTTGTATGTTATAAGCCAATCAGGAATGCAAACTTACTAAAATATATAACCTATTTACAAGGTACAATATACATGTATCTCAACATTGCATAATCATAATCATAATGATGCGAAGAAAAGCCTGGAACATGTTTCATGAACATTATTGGAATCCAGTACTGAATACAATTAGAATAAATATATATCATACAATATTAACATTGTACACACCTTCTAGAAATCTTCGTTCTAATAAGAAAAAATTGTTTGTTATTCCACCAGTGATGACCAGGTCATATGGTGAACGCAGCTTCGCTCACACTGCCTCAACTTCATGGAACAATCTCCCGGAACATCTAAAAAACATTGACTCCATTGTTAAGTTTAAGATTGCTTTAAAGACGCACTTATTTAACATTTAATTCATCCATTTTGTCCGTTACCCAGTATGTCTTGTCTTTGTATTCTGTTATGTTTTTTCTCTAGAGCGCTTAGGGACATGTTTTAATATTATGTGATATGCGCTTTACAAGAACGGTTAATTATTATTATTACAATTATAGCAGCATATTTACATGTACACTGGAATGATGTAAAGAAAATCCTGGAAATAATTTCAAAATATCATATAGTACTGGCGAATGTATTTCAACATATATACAAACAATAATCCATGTCAAATTAAATATTACACTGATAACTCAGGCATGTTACATTGACAAAAGAGACATGTATCTTATAATCGTAGCAGCATATTTACATATACACACACTGGAGCAGGCGCGTACGCAGGGGGGGGGGGGGGGGTTTGGGGGTTAAACCCCCCCCTTTGGAAATTTTTTGTGTGTAAACCCCCCTAAAAAAAAACCTAAAACCCCCCCCTTTTGGATTTATTTATTTATTTTTTTTTTTTTTAATTATTATTTTTTTTTTCTCCAAATTTCGAGACCAAAAAAAAAAAAAAAAAGTGTCCTCTTACCCCCCCCCCACCCCCCCCCCCCCCGCTTATTCAGCGGCTGGCTGAGTCGTTGCGAAATTTTCGGACCGATTTATAAATGTTAAAACCCCCCCCCCCCCCCCCCCCCCCTTGAAAAAATCCTGCGTACGCGCCTGCACTGGAGTGATGCAAAGAAAATCCTGGAAAATATTTCCTCAGATTTATTTCAAAATCTAGAACTGGAAGTAGCTCTAAATTTACAAACAACAATCCATGTCAGATAAAATGATACGCTTAAACCTGAGACCTATGACATACACCCTTACCAAACAAAGCTATTATCAATAATACTGAGTTCTATCAAGTTCATTGACAAGATAACTAGATCAATATGGCTCTTAAAGGTACTATGTCCCTTTTGCAGCCAACCTCAATTTCTGTAGAACTTTGCAGGAATTATGAATATGTCATGTATGTCCTATCTGTGAAATTTAAACGTTAGCAGTGTCCTCATATTCAAATTATGCAAGGAAACCTGTTTACTTGCTAGACTTAACTGTCAGACACTATTGAGTGACTGACTGGCCTTTTTTCTTCTTCGGTAATAACATACATAAAATGGGCTGTAAAGGGTACATGAGCATTTGTGTACATCAATAACCCACTTCTTGTGATGGCCAAAATTAAACTGATTGAAGCTTTGTGCAGCATAAAACGTATGACCATTCGGTACAATGTTCTGAAAATCACGACTACTACTTATTGGCTCTGTAGCTCCTAAGTCGATTTGACAACTAATAGTTGTTATTTTCTCACTCGAAGACACTTTCAAGCCCCACCTTTTTTAGGGAAGTTCTAAATTAGTATTATCTTTCAAATGCCATTGGAATTTAACTTTTTCATTTTTTGGCCTGCAAAAGGGACATAGTACCTTTAACATCTGGGTCATTTCTGGTAACAAATTCACAAGTTAATTTAGATTCTACTTAATTTTATTTGTATTGAACATGTGCAATGACATTGACATATACAGTGATATTTTGATAAGATAATTTGACAAATTACATACATACCTCAATATAACATACTCATAACTCACTTTGTGAAAGTCGAGTGGTATTTCATGCATTGCAAACAAATAGTAAAAGTCTACAATACACATACACTTGGTACATGCACTACATGTACAGAAACTGTTTAATGCACTATCATCCTTGCTATGTGATGGATCGCCTAACAGGCCGACCTCCGCTCTGTGCTCGGAAAATATTTGGTTATACTAACATGTATTGTGTGGACCAGTCCCCAAGTTGTTATCATATGAATTTTGATATAACAAGGGTTCTGCTGGACAAATTTCGGAAGATTTTGGTCATCCGTTTGTGAGTACTTTGAAGAAACATTTTAGATTTGACTTATGCCTCCAGTACTTACAAGCCTATGTACAGCCATGTTAGCAGTACCATAGGTTAGTACACAATCCATTGAATCTATTGGCTTGTATTGACAGTCTTTTGTGTTTGATGCACTCAAGCCAACAAACCTATTGAACTTGGACAAAAGATTTTTTCTGTGCGTCTAAATTTATACAGGCATATAGGCCTACAGCTATTCATTATGTACTGGCCCTGGCCTGGCACTACCATCTTGTTCACACTGCTTGTGTTTTGTAATAAACAAGTATGTACAATTAACGTTACGAGCAAATCTAGTTATTGCTATCCAATATTAACTGGAAAGTTGCTTCACCATCACAAGTATTTAAAGGCACCGAGTTTATATTACTCGAACTCTTCAGCATGTTTTCACATTGACATTTTGGTGTGTGGTGACATACACCCAAATCCGGGTCCAGTCTTTGTGAAACGTAACCGGCATTATTATTCGATTTCTGAATTTTATAAACTACGATCACACAATGGATGTAAACAATTACCTTCCACAACATGGAAAACCCTCGTCGAACTGGGTATTTCCAAACGCCCTACCCGTAATCATCGTGGAAAGCGCGCTGGGACGCGCAAACTCCAACCTTTTCAACGAGAGTACACTTATTTAACTTCGTCACTGAATGTCAGTCATCAGATTTCAGTTTTATTACAACCACACAAAACTCGAAGTATAGGTTTTGAGAAGAGAAGAAGCTGTACAAGCAATCTAATTCATATTAAACCCTCTGTCTCATTGAATGTGAAGAGAACTTATGATCTACCAATTCTTTATTTGATGAACGCGAGGTCAATAAAAAACAAATTTGATGAAATTGTTGTTGCAGTTAATAATTATAACGCTGATATTTTGGCGATCACGGAAACCTGGCTGGATCCAGATACACCGATTGATTACTTCTCGATGGCCGGATACATGTCTTTCTCCAAGCCAAGAGTTGGGAAGAAAGGCGGAGGAGTAGCAGCTTACATCAAGCATCGCTTCAAACCACGGGCTCTCCCGATCGACGTACCTGATGGGCTGGAAGTCATCTGGATTCACCTGCGACCACCGCGATTACCTAGGAGAATCTCGGGCATCATAGTTTGTGTTGTATACTACCCTCCTAAGCACCCGACTTCCGATATATATATTGACCATATTGTTTCCACTATTGATCATTTATTAATACAATATCCAGAGGCAGGATTCACTGTAGTAGGTGATTTTAATGATCTTGATGTGAACCAAATTTTAGAAAATGATACTTTCTGTCAAGTTGTAAATAAGCCAACCAGAGGTCAAAATATATTGGACAAAATTATTACAAATTTTGATTACGCATATGAGCCTGTTGAGATCCTTGCACCGCTAGGGATGAGTGATCACAACGGCATCCTGTGGCGCCCTTCAGCCCTCTTCCGTCAACCTGGCAAGCTGACTAACGAGACGCGGACAAAAATAGTGCGCCCTCTAACAGATAGTGGAATCCGAGCGTTTGGCACTTGGATAACCCGTCACACGTGGGAAGATTTGTATCAAATCATTGACCCGTCGGATATGTGTCATTTATTTTATAATGTTGTGCGAGAACATATTGATCAGTCCCTACCTACTAAGACTATCAAATTTCATGAAAGTGATAAACCTTGGATATCTAGTGAGATAAAATCGTTAATTAAACGAAGACAGCAAGCTTGGCACTCTGGTAATAAAGAGCTGTGGAAATATTTTAGAGACAAAGTTATAGATGCAATAATATTAGCTAAGGACTCATTTTATAATAAAAGAATTCATACACTTAAAATAAATAATCCCGCTGATTGGTATCGTCATATAAAACTCATAACTCAAGGACCTCAAGATCAACCATCCATCGACATACCAGGTATTGCAACTGATCAGCCTGAACATTTTAAGGAAGCAGCCGATTGCATTAACGATAAGCAAGGGGTGTTTCCACAAGTATGGAAATATGCTGAGATAGTACCAGTACCCAAATCATATCCACCAACTCTACTTGAATTACGGCCCATAGCCCTAACTTCTTACTTTGCTAAAATAGCTGAAACTTTCATTACTAAGTGGTTGTGTGAGGATATTGGTGATATTATTGATAAAAACCAGTATGGAAATCGTCGTGGTCTTTCTACTTGCCATTATTTAATTGCAATGTTACATAATTTATACAAAAATGCAGATAAACCAAAAACAATTTCAACAATAGTTTTAACCGATTTTTCTAAAGCGTTTGACCGGATTGATCATAATATTTTAATTTGTAAACTTGTTAAATTGGATGTACGACCATGTGTCATTTCATTAATAGTAGATTTTTTAGAATGCCGCCAACAAGTAGTAAGGTATAAAGGTCGTATTTCAAATGTAAAAAATAACAATGTAGGAGTCCCTCAAGGTACAAAATTGGGGCCTATATTATTTTTAATTATGGTTAACGATGCGTGTCATGATTGTTTACTCCCTTTTTATAAGTATGTGGATGATTTAACTATAGTAGAAAGCCGGACTTGTACACAAATATCAAAATTGCAATCGGAATTATTGTTATTAGAAAATTGGTCTTTACTCAATAATATGAAACTTAACCCAACTAAATGCATTGCTATGACAGTCTCTTTTATGAAAAATCAAACTCACCAACTATTGTATATTGATGAGACACTTTTAAATGAAGAAAATGTAATCAAAGTTCTTGGAGTTTATATTCAATGTGATTTAAAATGGAATACTCAAGTAAAGGAAATGTTAAAGAAGTGCAATAGAAAGTTATATATGTTACGTACCTTGAAACGTTTTAATTTACCTATTATTGATCTCGTTATTGTTTATACTGGATACATAAGACCAATTTTAGAGTATTGTGCACCACTTTTTCATTCCAACCTAACACGTATACAAACAGATAATATTGAACGAATACAAAAACGGGCATGTAGAATTATTTTGGGACTTAATTATGAAACATATAATCATGCTCTAGAACTGTGCAATTTGTTAACGTTGGAAGAACGTAGGAATAAACTTTGTTTTGATTTCGCCATTAAATTAGAAAAGCATGATTTGTGTTCGTTATGGCTACCAAGTCAAAGAATTGTTAAATTTGATTTACGAAATGTACAGAAATATTCTCAATTTATTTGTAAAACTAGTCGCTTTAATAACAGCTCTATTCCCTATTTTGTTCGTATCTTAAACGATTATTATTCAAAAAAGTAAGCTTCATATATTTTTGTATATGTTTATGTTTAATGATGTTGCCTATTATGTGTATAAATGTGTCCAGTATTTTTATCCCTTTATATGTCATTAATTTTATTTTATGTCAACATGTATAATGCTCAGTGTATTTTAAATATAATGATGTTTTTACCTTGTACAAATGATCTGCAATTCAGCTTCGGCTGCCAGAACATCATACGAATAAACCCTTATTGAATTGAATTGAAAAAAGAAGGCATTAATCCACATTTGCCACTCTCCACCCAGGTATAAAGGGGCACCTGATAAGCCACAAGCGCTATATATTGGGCAGCTGTCTAGGACCAGGGTAATAATGTTTGAGCGCCAGGAATGTCATGGCATGATGGCATGTGCACTATACCATAAGTCAACGTTATCATCATTATAACTACTAGTCCCTGGTGTTGTCACCTTCTATACACAAGCAGGCATAATGCATGATCATAGCAGAGTCAAAAATGACCCCAATTAAGAGTATTTTCAAAAACATTTTCCAGAAAAAATTGAAAATTTAGACCTCCTACTTTTTAAATAATACTACTAATAATATTATAGATTTATATAGCGCTTGAAACATCAACAATGTCTCTAGGTGCTTTTACCAAAATATCATTACTCTGGTCATCAATTTCAGGCTTGCCGGCATACAATGTATTCACATTCTCCACTCTCTGGGAAGCATTTCAGCTGTCTTTGAACAAAAGCCTAGACACAGTGTCAGGCTTAAAGGTAATACAAAGTTTGGTATGGGGTCATGAATTGGATGCATCTTTAATTTTACCATATTCAATGATCGTTGTCGTGGTTGATATCGAGTCTAAAGTGATGAAATTGTAAATAATAAACTCTTTATGCTGTATAGCTCCCTCTCAAGACTGATATTAATTTAGCTTTAAAACAATGTTTCTTGACTACATACAACAGATTTGCTATTCCTGTTTGGACATTATATCAGAACTGCATATTCTGAGATTTTCATGGACGCAGCTGCCATGGAAAGGGCCTTAGCCGCTATTTAAAATATTTGTAATTTACCAGGACCATAATAATACGTCCACATAGGCATACAAATATATCAAATTTTAAAGAATTACTATCCATCAAATTTTCAAAATTTCCCAAAACTTTGCATTACCTTTAAGATTGACTAGAATAGGTGCCAAAGAGTTGATATTGAACAGTTGGAAGCTTCACATGATTACTTTATATACTTCACTAAACCTTCAACCTCTGCATCCTTTAGGAATGTCTCCAGCTCGTCCATATTACCACCAGTCCTTGTCTTCCACTGTGCCAAGCAATGCCTCGTAGCTCTCTGGTAGTCCATGTTAAACTTGGCTAGGAAGCTGTCGGCTTCAGTGTATCCGATGCCAAGATATGTGCATAGCATTGTGTAAGTCCCATGAGGCAGGTATTTTGATAGTTTGTTAAGTTTTCTATCTGATTCCAGATCATTCCTGAAGAATGAAAGAACAATTGATGCAATCTGATGGTGTCACTTAATATGTATGTGGAGCCACACAAGTGTCAAGTTTAACAGACATGAGTGCCAGGGGCGGATCCACGTAGCGATTATTCCGGCCCGGCCCCCCCCCCTAGCCCCTCAAAACTATAAAAATAGGATAATAACGTCAAGTTAACCTTTATAAAACAAAAAACAAAAGCCCCCCCCCCCTCCCCCCGCTTATTCGGCGGCCGGCTGAGTCGGCACTAAATTTTGTATTAAGATTTGGCTACCCCCCCCCTTGACGCCGTCTTGATCCTCTGCAGGCGCGGATCCACGGGGAGGGGGGGGGGGGCTGACGAGTCAACAACCAAAAAAAAAATAAAAAAAAAAAAAAATTCTCACGAATTAGGTGAAAAAAACAAAAATAGTGGTCTCACCCCCCGCTTATTCACTGGCTGACTGAGTCGGCGCAAAATATTTCCTGAAAATTTGGACCAAAAAAAAGTGCCTCCTACCCCCCCCCCCCCTCCCCCCCCCCGCTTATTCAACGGTGGCTGAGTCGCAACTAATATTTTCTTCAAGATTGTGCCCCCCCTCCCAGCCAGCTAGATCCGCCACTGATAATTTACAATTCATATTTATAATTTACTCTTATTATTATCATTATTATTATTATTATTAATCCATGATTATAATGGAGTAAAAAAAAACACATCTATTAATATTTTACATAAAATTACACAACACACAATTCACACAACTGTGACAATTTATGCTGGGTGTTGATGGCAGGCGCGGATCCAGGATTTCTCAGGGAAGGGGGCCCAATTTTTTATTTTTTTTGCTCCCGAAAATTTGAGTTCAGTTGGGGGGGGGGGGGGGTTTAGTGAGCACATTTTTTGTTGTCCCTCAAAAATTTGCACCCCCCAAAAGCTAAAAATCTCGCGTTTTAACACAATTGTTTTCCCAGGGGGGGGGGGGCCCGGGCCCCCCCCCCCTGGATCCGCCACTGGTTGATGGCACAATAAAAACTATATATGTAAACTAATTTTTTGCTTATTGAGTACACATTCACAGAAAGTGTATCAGAACAATTACCCTTTGACGTTCAAACATTTACAAACCTCTCTGAAAATTACCCCCCCCTCTTTTTACCCCAAATTTCTGGCAGTCCAGGACACATGGACACCCACAATCTAAGTCTGGACCCCTGAATTGGGAATTTTAAACTCGGGGAGCAAGCATACAGAGTGTAAAAATTTGAATCTGTAACCTCTTTTCCAAATAAAAGTTAGTGTGGAGCCCTGTATCATAGTGTTACCAGTGGGACACTGTCTTACTCTACTGATACCATAGCAACTAGACTTCATACTTTGATTGCTTTTCTGGAATTTCAGGATCATCCTGTAGAACTCTTGACTGAGTAGAAGGAGCTTGTCTCTTGTAAGGCGTGCTCTGAATTTGAGAGAATTGGTGTGCAGTATCTGTATAGCCAACATGCTCTTGAGGGTAGTCTGATGGTGGTAATGTCCTTCTTTGATAATGTTTTTGTGGGGGGGGGGGAAGTGATTGTCCAAGGGGGTAATTTTTTACGGGGTGGGGGGGGGGGAGGAGGTAATTGTCCAAGGGGATAATTTTTAGGGGGGGGGGTTGTTGTCTTTGGGGGGGGGGGGTAGTTTTCCGGGACATAATTGTCCTTGGACGGTAATTGTCCAACTGGTAATTGGTCGGGGGTGATTGTCCAGGAAGCAATTGTCCTACAAGATGAAGTGTTACCAATGTCTTACTCTACCGATACCATAGCACTTATGGGCTTCATACTTTGATTGCTTCTTTGGAATTTCAGGGTCATCCTGTAGAACTCTTGACTGAGTAGACGGAGCTGGTCTCTTGTAAGGCCTGCTCTGACTGCTGCTGCCTTCTCCGTGTGTTTGAGAGAATTGGTGTACAGTATCTGTAAAGCCAACATGCTCTTGAGGGTAGGCTGATGGTGGCAATGTCCTTCTTGGATAATGTTCAGCTGATTCCGAATCAATCCTGAGGAATGAAAGAATGATTAATACAATCTTTGCAACCTATATATGGGAGTAAGTATGGAGCCCCACAAGTTTCAAGTTTGACAGACCAGAAAAATTAGAACACATTTTATTATTTACTATATAAATCTATGTATCTACCTATTATTTGCTAGATTCCCTAAACTACGCAGCCGTCGAGAACTAAAACATCACATCCGCGCATGCCCCACCCCAATACATTGCCTTCCCAGGGTCACTTGCACCACATGCCCGCCATCTTCCTCTAAAACGAGCCGTCAGAGACAATGCTTCGGACATGTTGCCGGGCAAGGAGAGGGGATGGAGGGAGGGACATAGGTAGATACATAGATTTATACAGTAAATAATAAAATTAGTTCAAATTTTTCTCATTTACCTCAATAAATCAATTTATCTACTTATTATTTGCTAGACCAGCACAGATAAGACCGGCTGGCATGTCCCAAGTAGAAGGGGATTAATGGCATACAAAGAAGGAACGTCCCTGAGAAAAAAGAAGTGAAAGAAATGGGAGACCGCCAACAAGCGGCCCCCAAAAGATAATTTAGACCAATATCTCGAAAAAGAGCCCAGGAACAACAGATGCTCCTAGTATCGTGGGTTCAGGCCTCACCCTCCAGGAAGGCTGGATGGCTCTGACAATCCATCCGGAAATGAAACCTTGGACGCAGGGGAGAAAGATCCCCGAGTAATGAGGAAAAAAAACAAAAAAACCCTTGGTCCTGACCAAGTACCTACCATTTAAATACCCTTACCGGGCACCAGACTTAGCCCTCCTAGACCAAGGAGAAGTCAAAGAGAGGGTTGAGGAAAACCTCACCTGGCCCCGAGAAAACCAACTGGCTCTTAGGCCGGGTACAAGACTAATGCCCCGTCTCTCCCACTGGATAAGGCCGAGGAGAACAAAGGGCAAGCAGAGTACTCCTCCTCTGCCCAAAAGTGATGAGGAGTAGAGCCTTGACCGTCAAACGCAGGAAAAAAGCTTTAAACATCGGTCTAAAGGGAGGCTTAGAAAACGCCTCTAAAATCTTAGGCAAGCTCCAAACAGGAGACAGCTTAGGGTTAGCTGGTCGTTGTAGAAAAAACAAAAACAGCGACCCGGATAGAAAATGGGAGTTAGAAACTCCCGAGCCGTCCAGAAACCCGACAAATAAGGCAGTGATGGCCGAGCGGTATCCACAAAACGTGGAAAGGGCTCTACCCTTATCAAATAAGGAGAACAGAAAATCTGCAATCGGTCCGGCCTCAACGGGAGAGGGAAAGGATGTCCGTCCAAAAAAGACAGAAATCCGAAATCACTGATTTGAAACCCGGCGGAAGCAGGAAACCTGCCCGGGAAGACAACACCCAAGTGAGATACGGGTACTAGGTTCAGAGGAATCCATGAGAAAGAAAAAGAGAAAATCCAAACAAGGAAAATGAGAGCAAAATAAATAAGTTGGAATGCTAGGCAGATGAATAAATTATCTGCCTAGCTAAACAGAAAACCCCAAACTACAATAAGGCGCTAAAGCCAAGACAGAACACACAGCCAAGCGGCCGAAACAAAGTCTGCAAAGCGGACGCAAAAGTAGAAAATGCAGGGCAGAAATGAAAGTTAACATTCTGCCTAAATAAATAAAGAAAAGTGATGGGTAACCCGTACCATCAAATCAAACAGATATGCAAGACAAACCAAACCGTGTCAAAAAAGGATAAAATCCTCAAAATTGATTCGAGTGACTTAGCTGCCTACATGTTCTCTCGGCATGCGAGAAAAGAAGAGGAAAGGGAAGGCGATGTATTTGGGTGAGGCATGCGCGGATGTGACGTTTTAGTTCTTGATGGCTGCGTAGTTTAGGGAAACTAGCAAATAGGTACATACATTGATTTATTGCTAAAATCCACTATCATCATTAATAATGCTATCATTATTATTATTATTATTATCATTGTTATTAATATCATTATCATAAGTTGTTTTTATCAATATAATCAGTTATTATTATATAATTATTATTATTATTATTATTATTACTATCATTATAATTAACATAATTAATATTATTATTATTACTATTAATCCATGATTGTTATAGTGAAATAAAAAATAACCCACTTTTTTACATAAGAATTACACACACAAAAATTATACAAAACATGCCCACTTATTCAAAATAAAACACTTACAAAATGGCCTCTAAATGCAATAATATTTTGTTTGCTTATTGAGCACACATTCACACAAATTAACAAAGAAGATGGAATTTGAAAAGCATTCCCGCGAAAGCTCACAATTTTTTTCTCCATTTTTACCAGAACAGTCTTTTTTCTAAATGTAATGCTCGAGAAATTCCAATTGTTAAACATATTTGTGGCTTACACCCAGTAATGGAACAGTGATGGCCTGGTAGGGAGCAGTAGATGGCAGGTTCAAATCTCGCTGGTTCCAAGCTTTTTTCTGACTTGTTTTTTAATTCCAGATCGGGCATGCAATCTTTATTTACGGGGTGTAAGCCACAAATATGTTTAAAGAACAGAGCCTTCTTTTCAAAATAAAATATTGATTAGATACATACTCTGATAATGTTGACACCCCTGCCGCTTGTGATTCTGCTGTTGTTATTGTTGTTCCAATATCTTTATTTCAAAGAAAGAGAAAAGATGAAAAGATAGAAGATTTAAATTCATAAAAAGCTAAGTCCATTATGGTTTATGTCAGGAAAGCACAATATACAAATGTATACCGGTACATACATATAAGTGAGTGTTGCATATATGTGTAAGTTTAGAAGGAGTTTAATACTAACCTTTGTTAAATGCTTTCTGGATATCACCAACATATATTGAGCATTGTTCATCACAAGAAGCACTATCTTCCGGGCATTTCAGGATATCTAGAATGGGTATCAATGCCTTAACGTCGCTTTTAGAACATTCCGGACACAATATTCCAACAGAATATTCTATCCGTCTTGCCCATCGCTGTTTGAGTTCCTCCAGTGTTTTATGGATATGGTCAATAATCTAAACCAATGAAAAAAAAACACATTTATTACAGCATGATAAAACAATAAACACGGTGACATATCAAGTTGCCTAAGACCAGGGTGCCAATCCCCGTCCGATACTCCCCTCAACATAATGTTCTACAATGTAGTTAAGATCCAGGACTGGTGTTCCAATGTAGTTAATATCAATATTATAGCATAACATAAATATTTCGTCATGCGCCAAATTGCATTTGGTAGTGACCTGGACAATTAGTAGCTTCTCATGTGTATATTGTATTTAAATTATTCATTTTCAAATCCAGATTGTATCTGCATCTGAAACCTTTGACTGATTTCCATGTACTCTGCATTTCATTGAAAGGTATTTTCGCAGTATGGATTTTCATTGATACTCATAACTTATCATATAGCTTTATGCAAGAGAGTTTTGTAATATTGTTGCTACTGTACTCTCCAATTCATGTGCTGACACTGAATGCAAGAAATATGTGTCATTGAGGTGGTCATGGTAGTCTTAGATGAAAAAGTGATTTATATTTTCTGCCATTTTGAAGTCAAAGTTGGCTTGCTGCATTTGAAAACAGTATTGAATCAATAGTCCCATTATGAAATTGCTGACTGTCCCCATTTTTCGTTGTTGTATGTGGGGGGGGGGGGGAAGAATAATGAATCCATTAAGACCATTTCAATTGCCCAGTAGCAGACAAGAATTATACAATATCCAAGATGGCATCGAAACTGACAGCATAAATTGGATTCAATTCACACCAACAGGAATACACTTGCATTGCGATGTCACGGGCCCTATAAATTGTATCATAAAGTGAAAGAAGACATCATATAAGACACGTTTATGCAAGGATTTTCAATACAAATGGTTTGATTACAAATATTAATGAAAAAATACTGTGTGGTGAGAAATTTCATGAAAATTTGAAACTCTAGAGTAAAAAGGCAACTTTACATCACGGCTCTTGTTTGTACTACAATAATTAAGCAGACAATAATTTGTGCACGCTAACCAGATTCTGTATATGTTACCATAATGAATCATATACCAATGGGTAGTGTAGTGATAGCTACATGTAGTTTAACAGAGTCTGCAAATACAGACTAGCATGTATAACTAGATATAGAATGACCTGCAACCCATGACTCAGGCCAGGTCATGTTATGAAACAATGAGTACTTGTATCAGGAGATGACTACAAAGATGTCTGACTGACATAGAGCCTCAATAAAGCTATACAACTTATTAGTTCAATCAAAGCTCTCCAACTGGTCTTTTATAAGAACATAATATGGTGTCAGAACTTGGCAGCCAGTGTTTGTGCTGAGCAACCCAGCCTACAGTATATAGGCCTATATGGAGGAATCATTGAAATCAGGCCAGTTCAATCCAATTCTTTGTGATGTGAGAGATGATGAGAGGGCTTATAGTCTAAGTGTATGTCCAGTGAATGTAGTTATGTCCATAATAGTTAGCGCTGTCGTTGTATGGATTGGAGTGCATAGTTCTGTGCCGGGCCAGTTCCAGTATAACGGGCAGTAAGCGTGACATATATGGGACATGAACATACAGAATAACTCAGTGAAAGTTAATAGTTGAGCTTAAAGTAATTGTTGCAAAGATACAAAAATAAAAAGCTAATTGTTATGCTGTTCATGTGAGTGACTACACTAGGCTAAGAAACAAAAAGAAACAAAATGGCAAATCTCAGTCAACCTCCTCCACTCGACTTAAAGGGAAATATTTCCGAGAACTGGAGAAGATTTAAACAGAAATTCACTCTATACAATGTTGCCTCAGGAATGTCTGAAAAAGATGAAAAGTTACAAACATCAATGCTTCTACACGTGATTGACGATGCTCCCTTGTAATTGTATAATACGTTTGTATTTGCTGAGGGTGAGAGCATGAAGCTTGAGAAAGTGGATAAAGGAATATTGCATGCCGAAACGTAATCTAACGTATGAGAGACATAGATTTTTCACAAGATCTCAGTTAGTGCATGAGAGTGTTGATCAGTACGCAACAGAATTGCGGAGTCGTGCTCAGTCATGTGAGTTTTCCATGTTGAAAGAGAGTCTTATCCAGGACAGAATTATCCGTGGTATTTTAGACCATGGTCTAAGAGAACGTTTGTTGAGGTAAGATGATCTTACATTGGATAAAACGTTGCAAGTATGTCGTGCGGCTGAACAAACTCGAACGCAGGCACAAGCGTTGAGTTCCGCAGGGGAAAACGCCTCAATTCCGGTAGATTCTTTCAGCAAGACTAAGAAGAAATTTCCTGGTTCAAAGTCAAAATGGTCAGAACCTCAAGGTCGTACTAAAAGTGATGCATGTAGCAGGTGCGGAAACCGACATAGCAAAGACAAATTAATGTCCCGCACAAGGTCAAACATGCAAGAAGTGCGGTAAGCAGAATCATTTTGCTAAATGTTGTAAAACCCCAGTAGCAAAGGTCAATGACCTGCAGCACTTGGAGGTAGATTCAGAAGGTTTCATGATTTGCTCTGTTGAATCAAAAGAATCCAAGGATGAATGGATAGTTAATCTACTAGTCAATAACCAGCCGGTTGACTTCAAGGTTGATACTGGTGCTCAGGCGAATCTTCTTCCTGAGACAGTATTTCACAAATTGAAACCAAAACCAAAGCTACAAAAAGCCAAAGTGATGTTGACAGGTTATTATGAGACAGATATCCTGAAGGTCGTTGTTGTGTACAAGTTGAGTACAAAGGGATCAAACGCAATGTGCCGTGTCTAGTCATTCCTGGAAATCGTCAGCCTTTGTTGGGATTACGAACGAGTGAAGACTTGTATCTGGTGAAACGGGTGTATCATGTTGAGAAACAAACTGAACACGGAACAGGTAAAAGTGTAGTTCAAGACTATCAAGATGTGTTTGTAGGTCTAGGTTGTCTTCCTGGTAAACACCACATCACATTGAGAGAGGACGCACATCCTGTTCAGCATGCATGTCGCAAAGTTCCATTTCCACTTCAAAGTAAACTCAAAGATGAGTTAGATAAGATGGAACCAATGGACGTAATCACACGAGTTGATGAGCCAACTGATTGGGTTTCTTCTCTCGTGGTGGTGATGAAAAAGAATGGTCAGCTCACGGTCTGTCTAGATCCAAGAGACCTGAACCGAGCAATTAAAAGAGAACACTATCAATTGCCATCAAGAGCTGAAATAACTGCACATTTTGCAGGAGCCAAATACTTCAGCAAGTTAGATGCATCTAGTGGTTTTTGGCAGATCCAACTAGATGACGAAAGCTCCAAACTTTGTACGTTTATCACGCCATACGGAAGGTACAAGTTCTTGAGACTACATTTTGGTATTTGTAGTGCTCCGGAGGTCTATCACAAGTGCACCAACTGTTTGCACACATTCCGGGAGTTAACACAATGATGGATGATGTGATTGTATGGGGAACTACCCAACAGGAGCATGATGACAGATTGAGAGAGGTTCTCAGCATTGTGAGAAAAATGAATCTCAAGCTGAACAAAGACAAATGTGAGTTCAATGTCAAGAAGCTCACATTCATTGGTGACTTGATCAGTGATCAAGGAGTTCAACCTGATCCAAAGAAAGTGTCTGCTATCTTGAACATTGAGAGACCGAAATGTCGGAAAGATGTCCAACGGTTCTTGGGTATGATCAATTACCAAGGGAAGTTCATTCCAGATCTGTCGACCAAGTCAGCAGCGCTGAGACATCTACTATGCATGGAATCAGCTGAAACAAGCTCTGATACAAGAGCCAGTCCTACATTTCTATGACTGCAAGAAACCAACCAAGCTGTCAGCAGACGCATCAAAGGATGGTATTGGTGCAGTGCTACTACAGCAATATGATCAAGATTGGGTTCCGATCGCATATGCATCTAGATCAATGACTGATGCAGAGACTAGATATGCACAGATCGAGAAAGAATTGCTGGCAATCACATGCATGTGAAAGATTCCATCAATACATCTATGGACAACAAGTAGAAGTGGAGACTGATCACAAGCCACTTATTCCACTGTTTGTAAAGTCACTGGGTGACTGTCCCCTACGCATTCAAAGGTTACTCATCGGGGTACAGAGATATGATCTCAATGTCTTGTACACACCTGGAAAGTACATGAGCAAGTACAAGAGCATGCCAGTTACATCGAACAAACAAAATCAGATTGTTGAAGAGACAAAGAAAGATGATCAACTGCAAGAGCTGCTAGGCATCATCAGAGATGGTTGGCCGAAAACGAAGCAGCAATGTCCAGTTAGAGTCAGGGAATACTGGAACATCAGGAGTGAACTCTCTGAAGCAGATGGCATCATCTTTAAAGGCAGCAAAATAGTGGTTCCCACTACTATGAGAAGGTTAATGCTAAACGAAATCCATGAAGGACACTTAGGCATCGAGAAGTGTAAGAAACGTGCTAGAGAAGTCATCTATTGGCCCAGAATCAACACAGACATCACGTAAATGGTCCAAAGTTGTACTTCATGTCTAATGTACAGACCAAAACAGCAAGCTGAAAGTCTACATCCTCATGACGTGCCGAACCGCCCGTGGGAAAAGGTTGCTGTTGATTTGTTCACGCTGAACAATAGAGAGTACATGGTCACCGTCGACTACTATTCACAGTTCATTGAAGTATGTACTATGACTTCTACTAGTAGCAAGGCCGTGATCAACCACATGAAAGCAGTATTTGCTCGCCATGGAACGCCATGTGAACTGGTGTCGGATAATGGTCCTCAATTTGCAAGCCAAGAGTTCCAGAGCTTTGCAAAAGAATGGGATTTTCACAATACTACATCGAGTCCATATTATCTGCAATCCAATGGCCTCGCAGAGAATGCTGTGAAGATTGTAAAAAAACTCATATCGAAGTCACAGCACAGTGGACAGGATATCCACAGAGCTCTACAAGTCTATCGCAGTTCACCACTAGCATGCGGAAAGTCTCTGGCAGAACTCCTCTACAATCGTCGACTTCGATCAAATCTCCCCATGCTTGACAGTTTACTTGACAACCAACAGGTCAATACTCGATCAGTGAGGGGAAGAAAGGAGGATCATAAGGTGAAGCAAAAAGAGCGATTCGACAAACATGCTCGAGACCTGTCAAAGCTAAAGCCCGGAGATCATGTCATACTCCAAGACATGAAAACCAACACCTGGTCGAAACGTGGTATTGTCAGGTCTGTCTAGGATCGAAACAGATCATACCAGATCGAGACAGAAACAGGAGAGATACGTCGCAGAAACAGACGTCCCCTCAGGCCAGTCCCACGTCAACAACAAGCCGAGTCTATTCCACTACCAACACAGGATGACTTCGAGCTAGATGACACTGCAGAAGCTACAGAGCAACCAGCATCTGAAGAAAGCTCAACTACGTCATCAACCAGAACCAGAAGCGGACGAGTTAATAAACCGCCAGATCGCTTGAACTTGTAAATAAATGAAAGCGAACTACAGAGAAAGACTTTTGCGTTTTGTAAATAGTTTATAATTACAGAGTTCAACTTGAACTTTTAAACATAACTGCAGGATTGCATGAGCATGACATATATATTTGCATGTTATAGTTTAAAAATATAACCGGATTTAATCAGTCACTTTGATTACAAAAATCAACAGATATCACTCAACCTCAACGGAGAATTCCAGTTTCGCGAATCGCAACCTTGAAAGATATGGAGCTGTCTCGTAATAAGTTATATATTTGAAAGCGACAGTACTCCAGCTTTAAGGGACAGAATAATGCCCTAGTACAGTCGAGAGTGTACAGATAGTCCACCCTGTCACTCTGTACAGTTTAAGAAGTTTTATATATGTATATGTAAACCTCTTTTAAAGAAGTGAGGTGTAGTGATAGCTACATGTAGTTTAACAGTCTGCAAATACAGACTAGCATGTATAACTAAATATAGAATGACCTGCAACCCATGACTCAGGCCAGGTCATGTTATGAAACAACGAGTACTTGTATCAGGAGATGACTACAAAGATGTCTGACTGACATAGAGCCTCAATAAAGCTATACAACTTATTAGTTCAATCAAAGCTCTCCAACTGGTCTTTTATAAGAACATAATAGGTAGTAGGTGTAGGCCACTATTAAAGATATTAATCAATAGTTTGTAAAAAGCAAGGCAATATTAATTATGTCTGGCTCACGTGTGACCAAACTACATGGATGTTGCCAAAGAGCATCCCCAACCCAAGGATGGTTGCACTTGGAACAAGGGCATAGTGCCTAGTCATACGAAAGTCTTATAAGATTATTTTATTACTAATGCTGCCAGATCCTAAAAAGGCTGGGTCATTTTGGTGCTCGCTCAGCAGAGGCGATCTCAGCTAGGGAGTGACAAATAATTCTGAAACATGGTGTGAAAATAGTGTATCCCATAAGGATAAGCCCATGAAGTTTCATATCTATGTCTTAAATTGCTTTTTTAAATATTGCCTATTGACTAATACATATGGGGAAATTGCCACTTTGGCCGCAATTTTTGACGCTGCGCAGTACTTGTTGGTCAGAATTTTGTAAATTTTGTATCGAAAGATGTGTAAGGGTAAAGGAAATATCCTTAAATGTATCACGGCACGTGTCAGGGGTGGGTCGATTCTGCCCCCCCCCCTTTCAGGGTTAATACTTACGTTCTCATTCAAGCTGACTCTGGCTTTTGTTCGCCCGGATGGTGCACCGGCTGGGGTCACTGCATATATCGTAACCTATTAAGATAACAGGATAAGATGAAAACAAGCAATTGTATTATCTAGTTTTTTTTTAAATATATAGATCTAATAAATCATACACCCTCTGAGTCTGTAAAGAAAGTTTGCCTTGTTTTTTTTCTTTCTTCCTGTTGTACCACTTGATTTATATTTAATTACTTATATAGTTTAGGGACAGGCCTTTGATAGGCCTTTGGCCTTTGTTTGTCCCCCACATTTTGATACTTCTGTTTTTATTTGTTGGAATTGACTTGTAATGTGTATGTTTGTTATTGTGATTTTTTATCAAATGTGCAAATAAATAAATTGAATTGAATTGAATAAAATCAAAGATGTTGGCTTAAATGGTGAAATTTTACAGGTATATCTACAAAATTCTATTTTTACCTGGGTTTTAGAGGGATAAGAGGCTACTGCACTTAAGAATTATATGGATATATCAAGGGTAAAGTAGTTTCATGTCACCCCCAAAAAGGTTGAATCACTATCTTTATTAGCTACGGTATTCATTTTTATAAAAATCAACGTAGATCAGACCTATACTCCGCTTTTCTGAAACGTTTCTTGAAACGTTATTGGGGAACGTCACCCATGGCAATTCACTGATCATGTTGATGTTTTACGGTATTATACGTAGACGCACAATAGATGTTACATTACAATTATTAACATTATTTGATTAACTCAGATATATATTTATAAATAAATAATATAAATAATCTTGCTCTAGGATTGGTTAAAAGCAAATCACGTGATGAACGATAGTTCGCCCATCATTGCGCTTTGGGAGAAGTCAAAAGTTTGTTACACTGTGTAGATAGTACTACTATCTACACAGTCAGTGCAACACACTATAATTGTATACGTTGTGTATTGCTCTCCTCTTTAAGCGCTTTTAGTGTTAGTACGCGAACTTTGGTCACGCACGAACTATGGTCACACCACCATACTGAATACACTGTACGTTTCGTACACCGTTTGCTAGATGTCAATTGATGACTAGACTTGTTGCTCTAAAATGACGGAAGAAGTGAAACGTTTTTGATGTGGAATATAAAGCAAATAATCACCTTTTGGTTTCAGGCGATGGCAAACTATCACTTTCTCTGCAATCTGAATGTATACGCTATATTTCCTCAGCTTCGCTTCGGAAAGATAGCTACACCCAGATCGCCTCGGAAGTGATAGTTTGTCCCATCACCTTCAACAACAGTAATTATTTGCATACTGTCAAACAACAGTATAACATCAACATGTATGTGATAGTGGTACATGTAGTCCTACCTTAATTTGATGACGCTCTTTACTTTGGATCTCATTCGTCATCACCACTCTATGACGATTGTCAATATAGAACACCATTTGCCTGCAGTGGAAAATTGGTTTGATAGACTCCTTTCTCTCCATAGACCATTTTGCCATTCGAACATAGAACCGGTGTAAGAAACCATCTATCAAATAACAACGGATTCCCAAACATCATAAAGATTTGGAATTTTGAAATTCAGAATCGACTGCATGGTTACTTCTACAGAATATACAAACTTATGGATATAAAAATATAATAGTAATAAGAACAGGAACGACAACAATGATGATGAAGATGATTATGATAATAGTCATGATAATTATAATTATAATAGTAATAGTAGTATTAAGAGTTTCAGTAATAATAAAATAATAATTGTAGTAATAACTGCAACAAGAATGCTAATTATAATAATACAATAATAATAACAACAATAATTTTGATAAAATAATATTCAAGTACATGTTTGAAACTAATAAGAAAGCAACAACAAAAAAATATTGTTAAAAAAAACACAGGCCCTACTAAAGTATCTCACGCATATGCCTAAATGGTTTCCTCATTGATCTTAATGTTGACTCTCAGGTTAGGCGTAGGGGTTGTGGTAGTGCATATATATTATGTGGGCAAATTATTTAGAAGAATTATGAAGCAAGTTCAGCATCAGTGAACATACATGTCCTTTTGTTGTGCCTCTTTCTAGAATCTCCTGATGGCAGTAACTTGGCTGATACAGAGATGCCAACCTTCTTCAACAAAAAAAAGTATTAAAAAAAAAGAGCAAAAAACAGTATTTTTGGACCAAAAACAGTATTTTTGAAAAAATCTCTCAACTTAACATATCGCCCAATCGAGGAGCTTAAAAAAGCCAGCAGTACCACGTATACGTACCCGGATCGGAGCGCGACGTGCATACATTATACGTGGGTTGTTCGCAATGTGCGCAGTTTGGGGCCCGTATCACCATCCTGCGTGCATCGTTTTAAGATGTAGGTGCATAATACACTTACGACACAAAGCCCATGATCAGAAATTAAGAAAAACATCACTAAAAAAAAAAAAAAAAATTTAAAAAAAAAAAAAAAAAACGTAACAAAACATACAAAAAACGTACTGCCGTATTCATAGCGAAAAAACGGAACAAATACGGCAAAAACGGAACAGTTGGCATCTCTGCTGATATGAATAAAGTGACTTATTTCTAGAAGTATAATGTATATACAATACAGGAATTTAAGATATCCTTGTGTAATAGGTACTTTCATATAAAGGGTACGATCCCTACAGTCACAGCAGATTATCCTCACAACTTCGTCATTCTCTTCAAGTCTGGACTGAATAACGAGTAGCTTATGATATTACCCCTTACAATATTAGATTTCAAAATTAAACAAAATGCTCTTTCTAAGGTAAAGAAAATAAACCAACCTGGTAAGAAGTGATTGAAGTCAATGGTAAATTTGACTTCATCGTCTTTGCCATGACATTCCTTGTCATCAAGCATAGGAGAGGAACGACAGGGAACGAAGAACCCTCTCTATTGAAATAAGATGAGTATTTCAATGTTGTAGTACAGTAAATGATTTAAACGCATATCATTATATGAATGCTGTAATTATGAAAGATGTGAAGTACACTTTTTAGTAAATTACGGTTAAGGGAGTCACATGTGGTAGTCCTTGAGGGCCCTTAGGTGACCTAAAGGCTTAAAATTGTCTCATACATTAATAAGTGAAGTTTGGATTATATACTGTTATGTTGATTACAGTTTACCTTATCATTCATTGCCTTCCCTTAATCAGTTAATGGCTCCTGATGGAAAAATATATTTGTGTAAATGACTGATGATCGGAGGACCATCTCCACTGAAACTATGGATTTCAAAGCGTGTTTACATCTTACCCCATCAGGCCTATCGGGTATTTCACAGATCAGATCGAACGTGATCATCATCTCGATAATGTCATCAAGCTGATCATGGTCTCCTTTATGTTGCTCCCAGACAGCTTCGATCAATTCTATACTAAGGATACCCTTTTCCATGAGATCTCTCCAATATTTGGCTAGGCCCTCCTCCTAATTTATAATGAAAGGTAAAGAAATATTGAGCATATAATTATTTCAAAAATGTTTTCAAAATGTACATATTGCCAGTGCTGGTCAAAATAAGAAAAATTAGAGTACTAGCTTAAAGGTAATACAAATTTTCAGGACCCATTTCTTTTCTTATTTTCTACAGGTACATGTAGTTTTTTTTAAACAGCTTTGGAATAATTGGGGTCGTTGCCCTGCTGGAAAAAAAATTGGTCCTCAATCAGACATTCGTCTACCAGCAGAACAACAACCCAAAATATTCCTTGAAGCTGTGTAAAATCTCCCTGGAGAAAAAAAAAAGAGAAGGGGATCCTGAAAGCCAGTCTCAAGATGTGAATTTAATGGAGCTGCTATGGGAAGAGCTGGACAGGAGGGTCCGAGAAAAATGACAAACTAGTGAGCCTCATTTGTGGTTGATTCTTCAGAAGGCATGGCAAGACATTTCCAGTGAATACCTCCACAAGCTAGCCAGCCGGATTCCCAGGGTGTGTTATGCTGTGGTTGCTGCCAGGGCAGGGTCATTGATGAAAAGTTTCTATGATTCTACACATGATCAAATCAAACTTTGAAATGTCAAGAAATTTGCATTTCATATCATACCAATCTTCATTTAGGCATCCCTGTAAAAGTTAAGAGTAACACAAAAGCAAAAAATAAACACTGAAAAATGATTTCCTTTGAACAGAAAGTGTTGTGGTGTTCCCAAAGTGTTGATGTGCGTTTTTAATCGAATACTAAAGTTCTGCATGCGTAAAAGAAAGCTTATTGTTTATCAGTCAAATTCAGAAAAATTCATTAATAAAAACAAGGGTAGGATTTTGTAGAATGTCGCAAAGGCAGAAGTGCTGTCACCTCTTTGTTTAGCTGGGTATGATATACATATACAGAGTAAGTCACAAAAATGTCCCACTTTTTAAGAGTTGTATTGTTTGAAGTATGAATATTTAATCAAGGGTTTGAATGAGCGTTCCATTCCCGACAAGGCCTACCCAAACTGTTACTTTTTGTTGGGAATGATCCTTCTTGTACAAAAAGTTGAGTGGTCGCTGTCCTTTTAGCGCACATTGGCTGATGTTGTGCTTCATGATGATGATGATGATTAAATGATGGTGGTAGTGAATGTGCACTAAAGGGAAAGATTGTCAGGGTTATGCCACTTAAACATTCAGTGATCATGATATAAATCAATGCTTAATCAGAAAAGGGGAAATTGTGAAATTGTCACCGTGTGTGTTGTGTGTGTGCTTGTATGTAATATATTCACACAAACACACACACACACATGTTCGCGCCCCCACATCCTCAGAGCAATGAATCAAACAGTACAACATTAAATCAATTTCTAACTTTGTTTTTCTCTTTTTACATTTCCTTCCTCCCATTCTTTATTTCTTATCTTTTTTTCCTCTACTTTTCTTCTCTCTTTGAATATTTATTACACAATTTAAAACGAAAGTAAACAATATTTCGAACCATTGTCTTGTCATCCATGACTGTTATGATATTACTGACGATGCTGTTCAGAAACTGTGGCTTAAGTACAATAAGCTCACATCCCTCATGATATATGAGGTGTCCTATGTCATGGTAGAACTTTAGAATGGCATACACTTCTTTGAGGTGGTTGATTCCCAAAGTTTTCATTGTTGAGTGTGCCTGTGTAAGAAAATAATTGAAACAAGTCTGACCAATTGTGTTATATGTACCGAATAGCGTTAACATCCGGAAAGCTCTCTTATCATCAATGCAATGTTCAATATTGGGCATTCCATAAAATATCATGCGTCTGTTCTTCAGATTTTCCTGTATTTTGTTTATACATATATTTCATTCAATTTATTTTCATCTTCTTGGGGTTCATAAAGTTAAGGCACTAAGTGATAAAACATCTTAAAACATGTGTGCAATTTACAGTTATAATAATGATACCGGTAATGATGATAATGATGATAATGATAATGATAATGATAATAATAATAATACTAATAATAAAGATAATAATGTAATAACATTGGATATTTTTTAGCGTACATATCCACCCCACAAGGTGCTCAAGGCACTCCAACATTATCCCGGCTCTGGAAGGCTAGTTTTCTGTGCTCACCAAATTCAATGAATTCCTTCTTACCGGTACCCATTTAACACCTTGGTGGAGAGTGGCAAACATAGATATTTGTCTAGCCAAAGGAGATACAAGCACCTTTAATCTATTTACGGTAGGTGGTCTTCCCATCATGATACAAATTACATTGTATCACAATTTTTGAAGCCCAAACCTCTAGTTGTTCTTGAGATATTGCAATATCAAAGCTGATACCTGTAATTTCAACCATTGACATCTATGACCTTTGATCTGCTTACTTCAAAATCTAATCAGATGGTCTTCCTAGGGTGGGACACACTATCCCTAAGTTTGAAGTTCATACCTCAAGTGGTTTTTGAGATGTTGTAATAACAACGATATACCTTTAATTGAAGAAATTTGACCTCTATGACCTTAGACCTACACATCCCGAAATCTAATGAGATTGTCTTCCTACAGTGATACACATTATCACCAAGTTTGAAGTTTATACCTCAAGTGGTTCTTGAGATATCGTGATAACAAGGTGCTTCTACTAGTGCCATATTCTCATTGCAAAGCTATTGAAACAAGTCGACGCAAAGCATAGCATCCCCTCGCAGGGTACAAATGGCCTATATACCTCAGAACAAGTTACCTCCATTGGACTATACTATTATATTACTACGCAAGGAAGTTAACCACATTTTCACATATGTAATTAGGTGTTTTTGCATAGTTAATGAGCTATGACCTTTCACCTATGACCTACATACTCAGAAATCAAACTTAGGCTGTACATGTTTTTTTATTCCACATACCTTCATATCAAATTTCATTAAAATTTGTCAAACATTACTCAAGTTATCGAATGGAAACCAGGTTCACATATTTAATGAGCTATGACCTTTAACCTACTTCCTCGAAATCGAACTTAGGCTGTGTTTTGATACCATGAACCTTCATATTAAATTTCATTAAAATCCATCAAACAATACTAAAATTATAGATGGGAAACCAGATTCGCATATTTAATGAGCTATGACCTTTGACCTACATAATCCAAAATCAAACTTACGGTAGGCTGTGTTTCGATACCAGGAACCTTCCTATCAAATTTCATTAAAATCCATCAAACAATACTAAAGTTATGGATCGGAAACCAGATTCGCATATTTAATGAGCTATGACCTTTGACCTACATGCTTGGAAATTGAACTTAGGCTGTGTTTTGATACCATGTACCTTCATATCAAATTTCATTAAAATCCATCAAACATTACTAAAGTTATCGATCAGAAACCAGATGTGTATTTTTTCGCATGTTTAATGAGCTATGACCTTGACCTACATACTCCAAAATCTAATTTACTCTATATTTTGATATATTATGTACCTTCATATCAAATTTCATTAAAATCCGTCAAACATTACGTAGTGGATAAGTCGTCGGACTGTGAATCACAGCCTAGCATAGCCGGGTAATGTTGGAGCGCCTTGAGGACCTTGCAAGGTCGATACGTGCGCTATATAAGAATCCAATATTATTATTAAACCAAATTTGTTACGGACGCACGGAAGGAAGGAATATTATATCACTTCCAACTTCGTCGGCGAGGGGATAAAAATATGTTAATGTTTAGTTCCCTATCTGGTGCTACACTGCTAGCCTGCACTTGCAAAACGATTTTCTTTCTTATCTGGCGATTCAGCTGTACAAGAGTATAAGGCAGGAAAAGGGAGGGTTATTTTTTTCCATGACTGTGTGCATCATTTTTTTCCATGACTGCACAAAGAATGCAACGATTTCCGCTCTGCTTACCTCTGTCACTGTCAGAGTGTTTCGATCACTGTCCTCTATTTCAGTTAAAAATGTTCTCCATTTAATTGGCATCAGAACTTTCATGTATGCCGAGTCCTTTACGAGTCCATCAATGCGATCTTGAATTTTATTCACCTGCAAAATAAAATTTGATAACTCAGAGATAACCCAACATAATTACATGCCTTTCCACGGCTTCTCTCATCTTATATATTTTAGTGTTTTTACTGCCTGTGGTAAAAAAACATTTACTATATTTTATTATTTTTTTTAATATATATCTGCCAATGTATGAAAAACCTATTCTGATTGGAAATATACTTCAAAATCTTCTGGAAGGTAGTTACTGCAACAATCAAGGAGGAAATTGTTATCGTAATCAATGAAATAGAAGTGCAGCCTTTCAAAATGCTATTATTTTTTATTAATACTATTAATACTACTTCTAATAATACTACCTCTACTACTGCTTCTACTACTACTGCTACTTCTACTACTCCACATATTAATAAGAACAACAACAATGATCATTATTGTGGTTTCATTTACCCACATTACCTCATCAGCATTAAACCTGTAATACCATGCTTCCTCGGAGCGTTTCTAATGAGGACAGAAAAACTGCACAAAAATTCGCAAGCAAACACTCGTAAATACACTGCAGAAAATTAGAAAGAATTGCTCAAGAGTTTTCAACTCCTCAGATTGAGTGATTACTTGCACTTCCTGGGAAGGTTGTGCCACAATTTGATGTCTGGTACCTAGTCATAGCTGCTATTCCATGCTAATTACTAAGAGATTATGAAAGCAGAATGCCCATAGGCAACACTAAGGCAGGATGAGATCTCAGTAATCTCGCGCAGTGTCAGATTGCACAGTAAGCTGATGTGTGCAAGCGCTTTGCTGTTACAATCCCTAACTCCACAGAATTATAGGATGCCGGTTTGAATTGTGGGGTGCAATATGGCAAGTATTTTCATTGTGATGCCTACAAGTGAGAATGGCCCTTATACAAGTGATTTACACGTTGAAGGCTTTTGGTATTACCATGTGTTAGCCTTATTGAAAAGACTTATACTATTTTGTGAAAAGAACTCACTTAAGGGCTATTTTACAAGGAATAAAATAGGATAAAGGAAAGAGAAGAAAAAGAAAAAGATGAATCAAACAAAATGATATTAAATCTATCACTTACACAAGACTTTATTTTTGGTGTTTATACATGAAGAATGAGGTGAAATGGAAATATGAGAAGGTCGGACCAGGAAAGAAACCATGGTGATAGAGAAGGTTTTGGGCAGACGTACCACAGAAATTGAAGGAAAAAAAAAACTATTGGTATCTGTAGAGTGCTTCTAAAAACGAATTTCAAACTATTTTTGTGACAAGGAGGATCGAGTAGGCCGACAAGTAATTTGACATATGTCAGGCTACCACATGGTGTTACCCTCATCAGCCTTCAATTGTGAATAAGAGTACTCATTCATTGCGGAAACCTACAAACAGCATCTGATAAAGGTGAAATCGCAAACTACAGTGCGTCTCAATAAAAAAGATCAGTTACAAAAGGTTGCCCCAATTAACTATTCCAACCAGGTGCTAGGAAATTGGCATACATGTGGAGAGCTTAGGGTCTCTCTATCACCCGACACCAAAAAAAAAGAATATTTCATTTTTTCAATGAAAATTACTGGTACAAGCCACTTTTCTGAAAAAGGGTGCAAAATCCAGAATGGGTGTCTGGTCTGGCCGGTATACACAAAGTTGAGAGTCGAGAATCGTGAAAAGGCTTAGAAATGTTCATATTCTGAGCCTTATAAAAGACAATTTATGACAGAACATGCTCTATTTAATAAACCTCTGCATGTGCTGGCATATCATTCCATAACAACTAGGCGTTGTGGCGTGCGCCTGTAATCCAGCTAAAAAGTGGAAGTTACAAACCGATTCAGCCGAGGACACAAGTTTGAAACTGAGTAACATCTTTCGGATGGTGACGTTTAAAGGTCAGTCCCCAGACGTAAATAATCAGATCTGATTGATAGACGTCTGTGAAAACCCAATACACACACATCATTTGAAGCATGACTGAGTAATTAACTACTTTTTAGTGTGTTTTAAAGTATCAGTTTTTGGTGAGTTTGTAACATTTTGAAATGGCATTACAACTTTGCCAAAAAATATCCCCAATGCCGTTCAATACAGAAATAGTCAGTAATCCATTGATTAATCAAAAGGAAAATAGATCTACCAGTATCAGTAAACCAATCAATCAACTCAACTCATTGATCATTCACACATGAGTTTAAACTTGAAAATAAATGTAAGCTTTTTCTGAAAAAATGCAAAAATTTAAATTTCATGACCATTACTGTTTGCTTCAATAATGAACCCTAATCTGTCCAGCGTATACAATTTTTTGGGAATACCTTTTTAACTGCAAATTGTTTTGAGATGGACTATACGGCTAAAATTGTAAATCACATGGTAATAATAACTGAATTTGTAATATCATCATTAACCAACAACTTACTTCAGACCCTTGAGAAAATCGATTGTCAATCCCACACATGGGAAAGAGAACTTGCTTCCAATAGGGTTTAGATCCTAACTGTTTCTTCAGTTCTTGGAATTTGTCCTTGACCTGTGTAGAAATCAAATATGTGGTTAGTAGTGCCTTAGATTTAATTTGTACCAGGAACCCCTCCCTCCCTCCCCCCCCCCCCTCTCTCTCTCTATTTGAATACTGAACCTCATTTTACATGGTGGATATCACGCCATATGATATTCAACATTAGCTAATTAAAAAAACTCACATTACATTATAAATTGGAATTCATTAAATTGTTTACAACGGTTAGTTCATGATATTAGACGGAGGAAGGAACTGTCACTGCAATTGTTGATAATTAATGAGTTGTTGGTCGAGGTTCAGTTGCATGATATTACAATTTCCAGGGTTCGTACACTTACACATTTTAAAAATTCCATGACTTTCCATGACTTTCCAGAGCAGGATAATGTAAATTTTCATGACCATTTTCAATGATGAACATGTCTTAATTTAAAGCGTACAACTATAAATCATTGCAATACTAGGAGGCAAATCAGAAAACTATGAGGCGCACCCATATTTCGAAGATCCCCCCCCCCCAAAAAAAAAAAAAAAAAAAAATCTGAAAAAAAATCTGTCATCTTTAGTTTAAAAACAACATTGTTACTAGACCTAGGTCTAACTTAGTTCACAAGCACTTTAACTGTGCCTCGTATAATGAAAAGTGAAAGTATTTTTTTAACACTGAAATAAGACGCGATCTGATCTGGTTAACAAAAAGTCACCAAAAAATATGCCACCAAAAAAAAGCTAACATTGGTCTTTTTGTTAACATGATCGGCTCTTATTTCAGTGACAGTGTTCGAAAATACTTTCATTTTATTACGAGGCACAGTTGAAGTGCTTGTGTACTAAGTTAGACCCAGTAACAATGTTGTTTTTAAAACTAAAGATGACAGAATTTTCCCCCGAGTCCAAACAGGAGAACTTTCCAGAAGAAATGGATGAATTCCCTGACTTTTTGCTTCTGGAAAAAACATTTTTAAATTCCCTGACTTTCCAGAAATTCCCTGACCCGTACGAACCCTGAATTTCACTGAATAAGTATTGGTCTGTTGGTATCATTATCTATGTATCATTCATGTAATTCCCCATTATGTAAATATAATAGTCAAATTTTGTTATCACTGTAATATAGAGGCTGATGATGAGAGATCGATAGGGTTAAGACACAAATCTCAGTTCCGACTCTAGACAGCGTCAATTTTGTCGTAAAATATCTGATAATCTCAAACCCTTTCATTAATTAATTGAATAATTGAATGTGAAGCCTGAACATGGGGATAATGATAACAGATTAATTATTTAAAACAAATAATGAAGTTCTTAAAAGAGTAATACCATCACGCTACCCTGAAGAAGAAAAACGTTCATCAACCCAGTCCAACTACATATACGTCGCCTGCTTATTTTTTTCTTCCAAAATCTATGTAAACAATATCAATGCTTGCAAATACTATTCTTTGTATGATATGATATAAAGAATTCATACCTTCCCTTTTTAAAGTTATCTTACCTTTTCCCCAATGATTTCAGGGCCCTCATCACCGGCAAATGTTCCTATTAACAAGACCTTTGGTTCATGGTGAGAATCTGGTACTGCATAGGTGTAGACTGACATCAACCAAAAATGTACCAATTCCAGAATGGTATGATGTGTTCTTACAGCAGACCCTTTCAACTGAAATTGCAAATCAAAAGTGAATTTTTCATTTTTCATTTGCGGAATTGTTTTACTTTGATCTGCATATTTGATCTGCATATTTGATCAGCTATGAGTCGCCTAGGGAAATTCATTTAAAATTTAGCTAGCAGAAGTTGTTGATGGTTGCAGCTTTTTTTAGTTGTTGCTGGTAAGGAAACAGTACGTAACCACATATGGACTTGGGTTGTAGCTGAGGCTTGAGAACAGAATGATCACTACTTACTTGCTTTTGAGCATTTTCGACATCTTCTTCGCGTGGTGCTTTATCACTCAGCTCCAGGTGTAGCGGGATAACCAGAATGTAAAGAGACCGCCAGGACAGAAAAAGCTATACAATTTGTGGAGAGAGTAGTTGAAAATGCTTGACCATCTATATGCACTTGTATAGTAGTATGTACACTGTTGCCCATAAAGCTGGAATAATTATGTTTTCAGAAAGATTCCTCTGACTCTGTATATTTTAATTGAAATGCATCAGTAATGACCTTTGACCAGATGTAATGATAACACAATGAATTTGAATTGCAGAGGTGATATTCATTCATGTATAACATTCCATTAACCCTAAAAAGGCCGGGCTATTTGAGGTCTTAGTACGGCCGGGGGGGGGGCATTATGGCCCCCCCTTAAGATCTCGGCCGCAAAGCGGCCGATCGCCGCGAAAATTTGCGCGCATGTCAAGTGAAGTGTATAGAATAATATGATAATTCATTTTTTTCAAAAATTAACTCATTTGCATATTTATGGTAATTTATGCAAATAAAGTCATAAAAATCACATTTTTACCCATAAATCATATATTATTCATATTTAAGCATTCTTTTTCACTACATATATTCATTAGACCATTCTGAATAATAATACGACAAAAAAAGTTGGAAGAGCCAGCTTATTTCTTATGTTATCCCTTGTTTTGATAATTTCTTATGTATTTCACTGTTTTTGTGGTTTAATTTATTTTCTTACTACAATTCAACTATTTTGACTCCCAAAACAACACCTAAACTTTAAACAAGACCCAATAACCCATGTTTGATCTGTTTTTTAGGAAACTGACTTTTCCATACGTTTTGTACACAAATCACGAAAATTAGCGATTTTTCGGGCTGACATGCAAAGACAAAAGGTCACGTGACCTTGTAACCGTAGGTCCGATTTTTAAAAAAACTCTTTTAAAAGTTGCGCAAGACTCAAAAGAAAAAAGTAAGCGAGCGGCGGGGCGCCATCCATATGCGTTCCCAAGTAATCGGAAAAATCTTGGAGGGGGGGGGGCCATAATGGCCCCCTCCCCAGGCCTTATTAGGGTTAAGTAAGATAGCCTATTGTTTGGTTGTATAAAAGAAAAGGTATTTGATGAGTTGTTCTTTGTACTTGTGTAGAGTTTGTATGCAAGAGGTCCACGTTTTAAGAATTGGCTGTATAATTTTCAGCAAAATTGACACAAAAGTTCCCCAGGCTATGCCCTGCCCTGTCCGACTCCACTGGCAATAGACATAAGTTTGCACTCCGACAGGGTGGACACAAACAAGTCTTGACAATAGGTGCATATGTTTATAGTGAATTTGAAAAATGTATTTATATTTTGCAGTATCATAACATGAAGAAGCTCTATGGGTGATTATTTGTTACTCCATTTCTTTGTCACCCCCCGCCCCTCCTCCTCTCTAAAATAACAGGTCCATGGACTTACTGGATGTGTGATGTAGTAAATTTCCTGTCCTCCAAAGTCCCACATGCTGTAGGTTATATCAAGTGCGGATGACTTCACCTTTGTGATCTCTTCACGAGTAATACCTTGCGAAATTTTAGCAATTTTTTTGTTATCACTTGTAGGCAAAAGTTTTATGTTACTTTCAGCAACTTCCATCACATTTGTTTTTGTTGCTCCAGATATATTTCCTTCGCCTAGTGTTGATTGGTTGCTGCCTGATTCTACGAAGCAAAATATAAATAATTTTATATTATATAAATAAAATGTAAGCGTTGTCATAGAAATGAGGGATTGTAATCATACATTGAACTGAGCATTACATAATGTACTTTCGAAGAAAAAAAAACCATGATACTACCATGGCTCTATATATAAAGTGTACCGTATAACTGGTAGTACCATGGTAAATGTACAGTGGCCAAAATACTGTGTACCATGGTAATTTTGTGTGGGTAAAATCATGACCCTTTGGCCATGAAGGGAGTTTCCAAATGTCTTGAAGCTTTTATAACAGGACGTACAGGCCAATGAATGGATATATAGTTTTAACCAATCAGTACGCAGAAAACTGTACAACCATACAACTACCGGTATACACAGGCGCGTACGCAGGGGGGGGGGGGGGGGGGGGGTTGAACCCCCCCCCCTCCCTTAGGTATTTTTATGTGTGTAAACCCCCCTAAAACCCCCCCCTTTTTTATTTTTGTATTATTAAAAAAAAAAAAAATTATGCAAATGGCTGACCTAAAACAGGTGTCCTTACCCCCCCCCCCCCACAACGAAGACAAATTTCAAATCTCGAGACAAAAAAAAAAGTGTCCTCTTACCCCCCCCCCCCCCCCCCCCCCCCCGCTTATTCAGCATCTGGCTGAGTCGTTGCGATTTTTTTTTGGACTCCAAAAAAAAAAAAAAAAAGTGTTCGCTTACCCCCCCCCCCCCCCCCCCCCCCCCCCCCCCCGTCCCGACTGAGCGACTTTTCGGCCGCCGCGATTTTCAAATTTTTGGGAGCAAAATAATAAAGCTGAGTCGTTTTTAACCCCCCCCCCCCCCTTGAAAAAATCCTGCGTACGCCACTGGGTATACAGCTATACATGTACATCCATTGACCAAATGAGAGCTGGCGGGCCGCTTTGTCTGGAATAAGCACATTTTTCCAAACAAAGCCACCCGCTTATCTAGCAGCTTTGAGCTCTGATTTGGTTAAAACCATACATCCATTTCTTATAATTGCATAGTTTTTGGTTGTATAGTCGTACAGCTCCCTGTGTTCTGATTGGATAAAACTATAAATCCATTCGATGGATGTATAGTTGTACAGAATAATGGCCTGTATGGCCTGTCATAAGTATTTGCGATGTTCTAAATTGCTTGTGTTACTCACATCGCTGGAATTTTCAAACTAAATTCAAGCAATAATAATCTATCAAAATAGTTGCAGTCTTCCAGGGTGTCTCGGTTTCCTCTCAAACCTTCTCCATTAATTTCCATGATCAGAAAGTTAGAGAAATGCAAAACTTGTTTAGACTAAATTGTGACCGTTTGGAGAAAACTTAAATGAGAATCTGACGTTCCAGGCATGTGGTAGGCGTGAACTGCCCCGGCATCCGTGGCAGCGCAATAAAATTGAGAATAAATTACGACATAACTAAGACACATTGTGACTAAATTGCTCATCATTGACGTCTTCTTTATCATATTCAGCATCGATCTGTTCTTCTATTACACCTAACCGGCAGTAACAAAGAAAACAGATAATTGGTTTATTTCTCAAAACACATTGAATTGAATTATTAAGATTGTGTAGAACTTATCACAGTGAATTTCAAATTTCTTTCAAGTTATTTTTATGTTCACCAGGAAGTAGATGAGAACTTGAAGTTGGTAGTAAGCATCAGGGCCCTGTTTCACAAAACTTGTCATCAGTGTCACATGACAGTTTTTGTTATAAGCTACTGAAATCCTTGCTTCTGATTGGTTAACAGCAGATTTGTCACTGATTTTTGTCATTTGTCATTGGAAAAAGGCTTTGTGAAAGGCCGGGGTCCCTGTTTGGCTTTTTATTCGTAAGGAAATTACTAAGTGAAAGTATTACCTCAGTTCTTTCTAAGTACCTTTTCTCTGCATTACGTCACCTTAGTATTTATATCAACAGTGTAAAAATGTGGAAAACGAATCTGCTTCAGAAAATTCCGTCAATTTGACTCTAAACACATGGGCCGTATTGTATACTGAATAGAACAGCATGTTGCTGAAGTGTTGAATGGGGTCCTCGATTACGAAACTACAATTGTTCTTAATGAAAATATACGTTACCTTCGCTGAGATACAGGTCTGCAAGGTTGACCAACTCGGCAGCTTGCAGTGCCTTCCTGAGTTCAATCCGTTCATCTTCCCTAGACACACCTCTTCTCCATTGTTTCAGCATATGATGAGTTCCGTCACTGGTAACACGGCCGAACCTCATATTGGTCATGAGCGCTCTCTGTATATCACCATGTAGGATTCCCAGCTGACCAGCAAGGCTGTCAATCTTGGCTTCGTCGTAAAGGTCGTAAGCTATCTGCTGTAATATGCCTGCAAACTCATCATCTGGAGGCTCTTCTCTAGAATGGTCCCGAGAATGGTCCCGAGAATGGTAACAAAGACAAACATGGGGGTGGTCAAAGAACGTAGGTATGACGGATCAACTTTAAAATGAATACAAAATTATCTTTACTAAGGTGAAGAACAAAAAAGTTAAAATAAGTTCTTCCCGTAATGAGACTAAAGAGGATTATGTTAAATTATAACTCCAATCAAGAGTATCATCTTCTACTTGTTTCATTACAGAATGTGTTCATTGTTAAAGTCAACCTATAGCAGTTGACTGACACAAATAGACAGCGATCCCATTTAGAGACCATGCTCGACATGCTCGAATTATTAAATTTTATTTAAATTCTTTAAAAGATTTCACTTTCAACTCAAATCACTGTAGACTGGTATGTAGCTAAGATTTTCATGTTTTTGTTAATGATTTTCAATCTTTTATTCACTTCTGCTTTCAGATAATCACAGGTGGTGACTGGTCACGAAATTTCTAAACATGATTTTGGATTCATAGAACATAATTGTTGCCGTACTTTTAGCACTGTTATTGACAGTCTAGGACTACTCATTTTACACACCAAAGTACATTCCGTAGTAGTTTTGTCACTATTAGAGAAATAATGCGTTTATTGTCAATTTGCCATGTAAAGAGTAAAGATATTTCATCTCACCCTGCTTGTACTGTATCACTCCCAAATCCTCCGGTTGAATTATCGTCAGATGATGATGTGCTTGTCATGATGGAATGAAGTCAGTTTGAATGAGAAGGAAAACAAAGAGAATTTAACATACAAATTTGGAATGTTCTCTATCGTTCACTGTATCGGTATTCTAAGTAATTTCAAAGTTTAGCAAAAATGGGGTAGGGAGCTATAAAGAGCATATAGGATTTGATAAGCTTCACATTATACATATTTCAAAAAGTAGCAACAAATTGGATTGGACTTATATAGTATAATGTTTATTTTTTTAAACTTTTAAAGGAAATTGAGATTGGAAAATAAAGTCTTACCACTCTGAGCTTGTTTTCCAGGAGCTCCATTGATGTGTCTCTGCTTTCTTCTTCCGCTCTGCTGATCGTATCTCACTTTCTAGTTGAATTTTGGTTCTCAGCTTCCAGTTCTCACGCTTAAGATATGTTAGTTCTTCTACATGTCCTATGTCAGACTCTGCAATCTGCGAGAATAAAACACTCATTGAAGCAAATGTGCATATAATAACATAGTGAATAATAAAAAAAATATGTCAACCAAGAGCATGTTTATAGAAATATACAAATACAGAAGTTCTCTGCGATGTATGTGTATGACACAAGATTGATATACAGTGCGTCCCAGAAAAAAACGAAACCGAGAATTATTGATGTTTAATCATAACTGAATCACAATTATATTTAATAAATGACATGTATTTGTAAATAAAAACAATTTGAAGAAAGGGTACCAAAAAGTCATTTGGGGGACAGTATCTGAATTTCATTTTCAGCCGTTTCATACGACACCTCAATAAGGAAAAATGAGCCCGGAAAAAGAAAGTTCTGTTTGTTTCAAGCTAGTAATGCTTGCATTTCCATAATTTTATAAATTGAATTCGTTTTCACTGGATGCCTGCCATAGCAACAAACAACAAACTCTGTTTCGTTAACGATCAGCCATGCATGAAATTAAATTTTGGGGAAATATGATTTTCTCTTTGAAATTCAGATACCATCTGCCAAATTACTTTTTGGTACCCTTTCTTCAAATTGTTTTTAATCACTCATGCTTGAAATATGCATCATATGAATTGCATCAAATGAAAGGAGGATCTAAATATGTGTCATTTATTAATCATAATTGTGATCAAGTTATGAAATAACATTGATATTTCTCGGTTTTGTTTTTTCTGGGACGCACTGTATATATATATATGCATGTTTATATACAGTGAAACCTGTCTATAGAGACCACCCAAGGGAGACAAGAAAAGTGGTCTTTATTTACAGGTGCTTTACATGTTTCAATGAGAAACCGTTTTCAAAGGGAAACAAAATATGGGGTGCTAAATATATTACTCATTGCGGATATGGTATTGTGATCTTTTAGATCCCTTGTTGACCATACATTGCGAGACACACAAATGTCACTAGCGATATTATTCTTAATAAAATATGTGGTCTTTGTAGACAGGTGGTCACTAAAGCAGATTTGATTGTATATAGAAAATGAGAAAAAGAGAGTCAAGAGATGTAATGAATTACCAAGAGTAATGGCTATTGGCTCAGAACATGAAGATATTTTTGTTTCTAAAGCGACCAAAAAATAACTGTTTCTGTATGTATTCCATGAAACTTGGCAGGTCAAAGCATATCAAACACATATTATCTGAGAATCTGTTTAAGTTCACACTTACATGTCTATGTTCAGTTCTTGAGGCCACATTTTCTACAGACAAAGAAAAAAGGAATACAATAAAGATTAATAGTTCACAGCGACACAGCCTACCAAACATGTACACTGACACATATCTAATACCCCATTCACAGTGGTTTTGAAATTTGTAGCGGCGTTGTAGCGGAGCGGCGACACCGCCATAACACCGCTACAAATGCATTCACAGTAGAAAAGTTATCCCGCTGCAGCAGCGGGATAAATATCATGTACCCATTCACGCTGCAGCGGGTGATTTTTATTACCTCCGTAACAAACACGTGTATGCATGGCTCATGACCCGCGAGTGACCCCGATATGACCGGAAATACTTCAGCGCGGGGTTTTAGGGTAAACATGTCAAGTTGCTTTTTGTATCCTCGATCATATTACTTTTTAAAAAACTAGCATTTTTATTGCTTCCAGTCAGAATATTTTAATTTTTTGAAGTGTGAAATATTTTTATTTGGATAATTATAAATCTACATAATAATAAAATCAATTTGAATCCACTGGTTACTTTATTTCTATTTCACTTTATGTTCCCCATTGCTGGAGAAAAGAGGTCAGTGATAGGTAAGTAAACAAATCACACGTGTTTGTCGCGGTGTTATAGCGGAGAGCCTTCACACTGAGTAAACACCGCGACAGCAGCGGGACTGTCCCGCTGCTGTAGCTAGGCGAGCCTAGCGATAGTTTGTCACGGCGTTATCGCGAGGCGGTGTTATCCCGCGATAGTTTATAACGGGTCCGAGCCTTCACACTGAAGACAACACCGCGACAGCAGCGGGACAGTCCCGCTGCTGTCGCGGTGTTTGAGGCCACTGTGAATGGGGTGTTAGATCATTAAAATAAAGTGGTGCAGATTTGTTGAAAGGTGTCTTTGAAAAAGACAAGTGTAAAAAACTAAAGTCCTGTATAACATTTCCCCATTGATATTAATAATAATAATAATAGTCGTTCTTGAACAATTTATTTCCGCTCCCCCACTTCTTTTCCACATTCAAATAAACAATTTGTGCTATACCAATTGTATTGAGACGTAGTTCAGATATATAAGACACGCGCATGCGTGGACTTTATTAAGTCATTCAATCCCGTAGGATACATACATGTATATCATAACATCCCCTTTTTTTTCAAATTAAAATGTTAACTATTGAATGTACACTTATAGCCTTTTGCTAGATAAAAAACTTTCCTTTCTAATATGAAAATCTTAGAAAAACTCTTAAATGATTTTCTTTAAATAAAACTCAAATATTTGTTATTGTTGTAAAACTTATTAATTTCATACGATTTTGGAATGTGAGGTCAGGTTGATCATTTGCTGATCTTGTATAATATTGTTATCCAATTATTTGTACTGTCTGATACAACTTTGAGTAAATACGTGCACTTATTCAACTCAAAATTACACTCAAGTATAATCAGTTACTACTGTTTTCCTAAGCAATAATAATAAATTTCCACATTGTTTGTATAAAACACTTGTTACGTGTCTCTGACAAATGTTACGGTAATTTGAACTTATTGATTTATTTCAATGTCTAAATATGTAACAGACAATTAACAAATTGTCGCCTCGTTACTCGTATTCTGCTTAATTACGAATCAATGTCATTTCACTTTCATCTGCTATGATTACTATGAACTTGTATTTTACCATAATAAATGATGAGTACAGCTCTGGAACATGAATCAATGTAATGTCTTACTTTGTACTTTCTAACTCTAATAACTAACTCTATGATATTTACAAGTTTGTTCCCATCTCATCCTGTATGGAAAAAAGCATATACACGACTTAGTGTAGGTCCTTTGCTTTGCAGTTGAACATATCTATAAAATGTAGTAAACTTCTTACTAGTGAATTGAGATCCACATGGCAATAATAGATCAACATTTTACTCAAAGATCAAGAAAATATCACTTCCTGTATAACGTTCAAATAAACGTGATAATCGAATATGTCAGTTATAGGAGCATGAATATTTATCCACGGGCATGCAAATTAACGAGTAACATAGTCCTTCAGATAGTTTGGACGTTTGACCGTACGCCCTGAACGAGTTTTCGGCGCTAGTTCAATGTCATTTGATTGGCTTGCCTGAGGGGCAGGCCGCGCTTCAGTTTCATCAGGTGTTGCATTGTGGTCATTTGCGTGTTGAATTTCCGCGGTTTCGTTGCTGCTCGTGGTTGTTTCATCAGGAGGATTTTCAGGTGTTTGACGCAAGTGTACACGATTGCGACGGTAGATGCCGGAGGGCGTTTCGACAACGTAGGAACGCTCATCCAAGCGTCGCTTCACGATTGCTCTTTCCCAGTTCTTTTGCCCCTGGACAAGAGGTTGCATTCGCACGGTGTCACCTTCCTGCAGTGGGGTCAAATCTTTTGCAGATTTGTTGTAGTTGTACGCTTGCTTTGCGATACGTAATTGCATCTTCTCACGTTCACGTATTACCCTTGGCTCGAGTAGACTCGCTGAAGTAGGCAAGAGCGTGCGTGTACGGCGATTCATAAGTCGTTGGGCCGGACTTGTATCCAGACCTTGCGAAGGTGTATTGCGGTGATCCAACAATGCAAGGTAAGTATCGGACCGCGACTTATCACTCTTCATGATGATGCGTTTTGCTGTTTTGACTGCGGATTCTGCCTTTCCATTGGCTCTGCTGTTACCAGGACTACTGCAGAGATGCTCGAAATCCCATTCACTTGCGAACTGCCGAAACACGGCTGATGTATACTGGGGCCCGTTGTCGCTAACGACTTGCGTAGGGCTTCCATATCTCGCGAAGTGTGCTTTGAGCTTTCGAATCACCAATTGGCTACTTGTGTTATCCAATCGGTCAACTTCAAAGAAGTTGCTGTAGTAATCGACGGTTACCATGTAATCTTTTCCCTTCAATGAGAAAAGATCTGTGCCTATTTTTTCCCATGGCCTTTGAGGCAGATCATGAGCCATCAGAGGCTCCTTTTGTTGCTTGACTTCGTATGATCGGCATACATCACATGTCGCGATAAACTGCTTGATTTCACTAGCCATACCAGGCCAAAAGATTGATTCGCGAGCACGTCGAAGACACCCTTCCATGCCCAGATGGGATGAGTGGATCTTTTCCTTCATCTCCCTGCGAAGGCTTATTGGAATTATCACACGCTCTCCTTTGAAGATTAGACCATCATGAACTGCTAGTTCATCTCTGTAACCGAAATATGGTGTTAGCTCCTCAGGCAGAGTGTGCCGGTCATTCGGCCACCCGCTGACGATGACGCTCTTGAGCTTCTGAAGTACTTGATCTGCAGCGGTCTGCTCACGAATTTGCTGAAGGCGCTCATCTCGGATAGGTAAATGTGCTACCATATTCACTTCTTCAAAGAAATTCACTTCGCTTGGATCACCACCAACTACCCGCGACAAGGTATCTGCGAGATACATGAGCTTTCCTTGTTGATAGCTGATATCAAAATGATATTTTTGAAGACGGAGGAGCATCCCCTGAAGGCGTTTCGGAGCCTTCACCAGCGGCTTCTTTATGATCATTTCAAGCGGCTTGTGGTCGCTCACAACGCTAGTAAATCGACCAAAGGTGTATTGATGAAAACGCTCCATTGAAAACACTACAGCTAGCATTTCCTTCTCAATTGAGGCGTACCGCGATTCTGTGTCGGTCAAGGATCTACTGGCATACGCTATGGGGCGTCCATTCTGCAGAAGTGCTGCTCCCAAACCCTTGTTGCTTGCGTCGCATTGGATGGTTAGCTCTTCCTTAGGGTTGTAGTAGGCCAAGAGTGGTGCTTCTGAAACCATTCTTTTGATCTTTGACATTGCGTTGGCTTGCTCTGTAGACCATTCCCATGCTATGTCTGGGCGTGTCAGCTGTCTGATGGGTTCTAGCGTATCGGACAGACTGGGCAAGAATCTGCTTAGGTAGTTCACAAATCCCACTAACCTCTGCACGCCTTGTACGTCAGAGGGATTTGGCATTTTGAGGACATCAGCAACCTTCTTTGGATCAGGCTGTAGTCCTGCACTTGTGACGACATGTCCTAGGAAAGGAATCTCAGTTGCTCTGAACACGGACTTCTCCTTGTTGAGCTTGATGTGTTGTTCAACACATCGCTGGAACAATTGCTCAAGCTTTGAGTCGTGGTCGATGATTGCTTCTTCCATCGTTGTCCCTTTCCCATACACAAGGATATCGTCTGCTACGCAAATCACCCCTGGCAGTCCTTCAAGTGCTTGATGCAATCTTTGCTGGAAGATTTCTGATGAGGCACTTGTACCGAATGGTAAACGGCGCCATCGGTAGCGGCCAAAGGGCGTGTTGAATGTCGTCAGGTGGCTTGAGGGCTCATCAAGTTTCACTTGCCAGAATGCAGAACTCATATCAAGCTTGCTGAAGATCTTTGCTTGGTTGAGATCTGGCAAGATATCCTCAACTATAGGTAGAGGGTAGTGCTCGCGTTTGAGTGCCTTGTTCAGTGGCCGTGGATCAATGCATATCCTAAGGTCACCATTCTTTTTCTCAGCCACCACTAGTTGGCTGACCCAACTCGTCGGTTTTGTCACCTTCGCGATCACTTCACGGTCAACCATGCGATCCAACTCTGCTTTCACTTTTTGTTTGATTGCATGGGGTAGTCTTCTTGGAGGTAAGATGGTGGGCTGCACCTCTTTATCCACTTGCAGGTTGACCTCTCCAGGCATCTCTCCCAGCTCTCCATCAAAGACTTCTGCATAGCGTTCTTCAGGCTTGCATGCCTTGTCTTTCTGGCTGGAAGCTGCGTGAACTCTTATGAAGTTCTCATTATTGACCGTGATGAGCTTCAAATGCTGGCTGACTGTGCTTCCCAACAACGGTGTGAAGTCCTTGTCCACCACTATGAATTCCACCGAATATTTCTGCTTCGTCTTGGGGTTTAGCATCTTGACCCTGCTGACGCCTTCGATGGCCATTGTGATTTCGTTCCACATCATGAGCTTTTTCTTGCTAGGTTTCAGGACGTAGTCAGCCCCTTCCAGGTGTCTCAATGGCAGGATGTTGGCACTAGCCCCGCTATCCACCTGGAAGTCTACTGCTTTCTCATTGATCATCATTCTGGCATACACCTCATCTCTCGGTTTAACGGTGTTGATGGTGATTGTGACATTGTCTATATACTCGGTGCTCGAGTCACTGTCGGCTGGATCATTTACTTGGTGCATTCGTTTGCTCAGCATGCACACATTGGCGAAGTGGTTTTGCTTTCCACATGCCTTGCAGGTTTGTCCGTAGGCTGGACATTTGTTTTTGTCCCTCGGGTGCTCCCTGCCACAGTACTTGCATTGAGATTTTGCTGCTTTGCCAGTGCTGCGCTTGCTGTTATCTCTTTTTGGTCCACCGCTCTGCTTTCCTTTCTTAAAGCTTGGCCGGATCTTATGGATATGAGCCGCTGATCTGCTGCTACCGGCCTCACTGAAAGCTTTGAGGTGCGATTCAGCTGTCTCTGCGCTCTTACAGATGTCGATGCAGCCACCGAGTGTCAGTTTCCTTTCTTGTAGTAGTTGCTTCCTCGTCTGCGCATCATTGGTGCCCAGCACTATCTTGTCCCGGAGGAGGCTGTCTGTCATGCATTTACAGAAATTACATGATTTGGCGAGAGATCTGAGATTGGCAAGAAATGACTCAAAACTCTCACCTGGTTCTTGTTGCCGTTTATTGAAGAGGTATCTCTCGTAGGTTTCATTCTTCTCACCGACAGCGTACCGTTCAAATGCCTCTATTATCTCATCCAGGTTGCTAGTTTCCCCATTGGCATTAGCGAAAACAAAACTGTTGTATATTTCTAGTCCCAACGGGCCGATTGTATGCAAAAACAATGCCGTCTGGTACACTGATGCTTGGCGATCCAGATGTGCTACCACGCTGTAGTTCGTCCACATCTGACGCCATGTTTTCCACCCCTCAATCACTCCGCGATTTATAGTCAATTGGGGTGGTGGTCGTATCCCGCTCACGGGAGGCGGTGCTGACACTCTCTGCTGAGTGCGACCCGTCGCTAGCTGCGTAGGCGACTGGTCACCCGTCCCGTTCTGCTCGACATTGCCATCGGGCTGCTGCTGAGCGGCTGTCTCATGTTCGCCTGTTGTAGGCATATTTTCTGACGGCTGGATTCACTTATTCAAGACCTCAAAATTTGTTCACACATATATTCACCTCAGCTTGAAACTTGCGCTATTAATTTAGCACTGTCCTTTTTCTCGTAGGATTTAAGCTATCCTGTGAAAATGTCAAATTCTAAGGCTCCGCCGCTGCCACCATGTATTGAGACGTAGTTCAGATATATAAGACACGCGCATGCGTGGACTTTATTAAGTCATTCAATCCCGTAGGATACATACATGTATATCATAACACCAATTTTGCACCTGCACAGGTGCTTAGAAGCTTAGAACGGTTGAATATTTTAGATTAATCTATTAAATATAAGGACTATATATTATTAGAAAATATTAGAAAATATTAGAAAATATTAGATAAAATTACTCAGAATACCTTTAATCATCGGTTGTGATGAAGTAGAGGGTGTTTCTAGGGTCTATATCGTGATACATAAAAGAGAGAGAGAGAAACAAACATATATATAGTACAGTCTCAAGATCACTGGTCAGCTATAGTTTTAACTGTGGCCCGAAAAATCAGCATGATGACTTCCTTTTGATTTGCAATATATTGTTCTTCCTTATATGAAATAAAAAAGCGTATTTAAAAAAACAACAACAATGTTTTTACTTGTTTTTCTTGTTTATGCACAGGAAAATAAATAGTTTTTTATCAGTAAAATATGATACATTACTATACTTTGTGTGATTTTCTAAATACCCTCCTATAAATGTTTTTTCATCGAGAAAAGATAAGTCAAACATTCCAAAATGTCTGAACATAGCTACATTGTCATAGTGCATGTTCTAAAGCTGTGTTCCCTGTCCACAATTTATCCCCTGTGAAAAGTAAAAATCTCCTTTCATTAGATTTCTCCAAAATAACTTAACCTCATGTGTGCTACGTGTTTCTAGTAAGCACAGTACATCTATCTTCTTATTCTGTAAGTAAATGTACTTAAATATTTTCTTCTGTTTAATATAATCTTTTAAAGCCCATACGTTGAGCGATAAAAGTTTAATACTCAAGTTATCTCATACTTTTCAAACTTGAGAAAGAATGAGACAAGTTTTAATTCTAACTTTCACACAAACTAAGATAGGCGTTAGCCTTAATGGTTAAAACCGTACCTATTATGCGTATACCGTTACTATAATGGGCAAGCAGGAAGCGAGTGAGATAAAAATGAAGGTGAAAATTTAAGATAAAAAAGTGGTTTAAGGGGTTAGAGATAAAAATTCGAGCTCAGAATACCACCCCTACTTTGTAAGTTGAATGCACTTAAGCAAATTTTGGTTTAATGAATGATGAGTTGGAATGCTTGAATTCTTAGCTTTTAATACTGAATTCATCCGAGGGCGACATTCGCATACATTTAATTACTATCAAAATGAATTGTAATGACTAAATGATTAGTTTGGCCGAGAAAATCTTAATCACGTATATATTCGCCCAAAATTCACAATTTGTCGGAAACCAAAAGCCAGAAGCATATTATAAAACAGAATGGAGAAAAATTATTCTTAAACTAGTTGAAAATCGATTACTCACGTGAGGACTTTCAACGTTTTTTGTGCCTATGTACAACAAATTCAAGAAAAAGGAAAAAACATATGAAAATATATCATGTAAAAGTCTACGGATCTTTAAAGAGATAGTTGAGTTCTGGGAAGAGGTGAAAAATAATTTGTGAGCGTTATCATTCTTATTATGCAAGTGCGGAAGAACATCAGATAAGACATGTTCCCTGAAAAGCATGGCTCTTTAAATGCCTTCATATTCTAAATATGTCATGTAACATCGTAAAACTCCAGGGTAGTATTTTAATGCCACATGTTTGTGTAGTCCCATATACATCTTTCTGTGTACAGTGTTTGTAACTTTACCAAGACTTGGCCAAATTTCTTATCATTTTGATGATTCCAGAACCGTGCAATACCCCATTATGCTAGATGATCAACCTTTTCTAGTCGACTCCACACCATTTCTTTCACAATGCAATCGCATGACCAGAGCTCAACTTCATCTTTAATCTTGTGGGTTGAATTTGCTAATGTTTTGCAAAGTACGCGATTTAAAAACCATTTTTTAATATCTTTTATGAATATCAACAAAATGATAATTAGGTTTTCATTGATTTTTGGTTGCTTTTATTCATTTTCCATGCAAAATTAAACATAATACAAAACATGAACATTACTTTGAGTAAAATGGAAACAAATAATCTTGAATCATAATAATTAATAACATGAAAAAAATGTTCTATAAATCATTAAATATGGAAATAAAAATTGAACCTACTTAAAAGCTAGGGTTGTTGCACATAGGTTGTCTGAATTAATATACTAATTTGTTTACACACAGAAAAACATAATACACATAGACTAGACTGAGACAAAAAGAGAAATGACACAAAATACAATAATAAAGGCTCAAAGTGGAAGAGAGAGAAATAGAGACAGAGGAAGGGAAAGATAGATGGATAGATAGGAAGATATGAAGATAGTAGGGTTTATGGATAGAGAGATGAAGCGAGAAGTAAAGCAAAGATAGAAGTAGTATAGAGTAGGATGGGTGAGAGATGAAAAAAAGCGAACAGCAATGAATTGACAAAAATAATCCTTACAAAGAGCTGTCTAATTCCTAACAATTTTGTTGTAGAAACCCTTTAACCTTTTTTTAAATATTGTCATTAATAAAATTGCTAAATTGATGTTTTATGTGTCTGTACATAAGAAGCTAATATCTAATTCATAGAATTCTCTGAAAGGCTTGACATTTTTACTGATTGTCATTATGAAGGTTAGGTAATACCTGGACTTCCTGATCTCCCTGCCACTTCGGAAACGGAGTTCACAGACTATAAAGGAAAACAAATATATAGATAAATACATGAAATTGCGCCCTGGTATGGGATTAAATATTACCTTTTGTATTTATTTGCTATCACTTCTACGACAGATATATACCATCTGTCATCTGTCGTGTGACATCATTTTGAACAATCGTATTGTATGGTTATTAGTATGTGGGATATACATAAATCTATTGTATTTATTGGTTTATTTTAATATATCCCACATACTAATAACCATACAATACGATTGTTCAAAATGATGTCATACGACAAATGACAGATGGTATATATCTGTCGTAGAAGTGATAGCAAAACCTATAAATCACACAATTGTTAGTCTTCATTCGTTAATGCTTTAAGGGCATAGACGTTAATAAAATGGTGACGTAGATACAACACTGAGCAACAACAAAAAGTGGACACTCATTATTGCTCAATTTTTTTATTTAAAACAAAAGACTTCGTGCATGGCTGATCGTCAACGAAACGGAGTGGTGATTAAAACGAATATTGAATACGTGAAAGTTCCATAAGTGCCATTCATCTGCACTTTAAAAAAATGCAGCACTTTTTTTTACCCCTGCAGTTTACCATGCCATATAAAGGAAGCCTCTTTCCAAGAAATAACTTAGTTATCCTGAGAGATTGATGGTACTCTTACCCTTTAATCTACAAGATACCTCATCAAAGTGCGTGAAAGAGGTAGCGTAAGGTAAAGATTATCAGCACGACATTGGCATTGCCATTTTCTTGATAACGTGAAGAACTAGATAGCAAGTAAATGCATGTATTCAAATTTATGGATGCTTATTTCCCAGGTGTATCTGGTAAGGAAGTATTTCATGCACGTGTTATTATCATTTGTACTTTGATTGTCAGACCACGAAATGCACAAATAAGCTCTTGCTCTTCTCAGTGGGGTGAATTTTTTCACGTTAATGAAATAGACTTTTCAACTGCTATATTTTAGTAGTTTTAAATCGGTGAGTTACAATTGCTCCCGTGTTATGTATTTTTCACCAAATATAATTCTTTTCTTCTCAGCTATGGTGTTCCCTCATTGTAAAGTAAAGGTTTTGTTATTAAATTAAAATGCATTTCCAAGTAAAGCTTGGTGCATAATACATGTACAAGTTCCCCTGGTTCGTCACATTATCAAGAAAATGGCTGCGCCGATATTATGCTAAAAGGCATTTTATCATGCCAAGAATATCTCCATTTATATATCTCATTGAAATTTTCATGAGGAATTTCAATACCGTAGGCAGGAATAAATCTCATCTTTCAACATCCCTACATTTATTCTTTGGTGTGGGGTCTTCCTTTAACCCTATTTAGCCCGGGGGGGGGGGCTTGAGAAGCGCCCCCCCCCCTCGACATTTTTCACGATAATTTTTTAACGCAAGAAAATCTTGCACTGAAATTTTGTGACTTTTTTCTTTCGAGTCTTGCGCAACTTTTGAAAGAAATTTTTCGAAAATCGGACCTACCATTACAAAGTCACGTGTCCTTTTGTCTTCGCATGTCAGCCCGAAAATCGCTCATTTTTGTGATTTGTGTACAAAACATATGGAAATCTCATTTTTCAAATAAAGAGGTAAAACATTGGTTATTTGGTCTTGTTTAGATTTTAGGTGTTTATTTTGGGGTCAAAATAGTTGAATTATAGTTGGAAATGAAATAAAACAACAAAAACAATAAAATACATAAGTTAAAAAAACAAAGAAATACATAAGAAATTATCAAAACAATAGATAACATAAGGAATAACCCTGGTTTTTCAAATTTTTGTGCTGTATTATTATTCCAAAGGGTCTAACAAATATATGTAGTGAGAAAGAATGCTTAAATATGAATAATGTCTGATTTATGGGCAAAAATGTGAATTTAATGACCTTATTTGCATAAATTACCATAAATATGCAAATGAGTGAATTTTTCAAAAAAATTGAAATTACCATAGTATTCTATACACTTCACTTGACATGTATGCAAATTTTCGCGGCGATCGGGCGTTTCACGGCCGAGATCATAGGGGGGGGGGGCCTGAGAAGCCCCCCCCCCCCCCCGGGCTATGCAGTTTCAAAATAGCCCGGGCTAAATAGGGTTAAGAGAGGGGAAATGATATTAGAACTCAACAGCACAGACGTTAAATTTAAGGCGCTTAACTGGAGATGCGAAGGTCGAGGGTTCGAATCCCGACACGACACTAGTATCCTTTGGCAAGATATTAACCTTCACTTGCCACTCTCCACCCAGGTGTTAAATGGGTTCCCGGTAGGATGCGACCGTCATTGTTGGTCAACAGTTTTTGAGCGTCAAGTAACGCCTGGCTGGCATGCTCCCCAGGGAGTGTAGATTGTGCACACAGTGTGTGCGGGCAAGCACTGAATCCAATGACCGGGGCAATAGTATATATGTAAAGCGCTTAGAGACATTTGTATTAAGCGCTATATAAGCGGAATAATATTATGATTATTATTACTTGAAATCTATTAAAATTCAATTCTTCATTAGGCGGATATCTCAAAATAGAATCCACCATGATAATATTGTCACTATCTGAAACAGATAATTATCACATTGGGAACGTTGGTTTGGAACAGTTCCTGGAGTGGCGATAGAGTCAGATTACTCTTAAAGGCATCGTTTAACCATGTCAAATCTAAGATGCATGGCCCTACATTGAAGCCCTAAAAGCATTGCGCTTCAAAATGATCATGAAATGCCTCACAAAAAAGTAAAAATCTTTGAGTGACCGGTTTTACCATACTCATTTTCCCCAATTGACTGTATTCTTAACAAAACCGTTAGGAAAACGTAAAATCTAGAATTTCGATTTTTAATCAAAATTATCATGATAATCAGACAGGCGATCGACTTGTAAAAGTCATGGGATTCCTGCATGACCTAATAAGCTTGATAGTTATGATTGCAGCATGAGCTAAATCAAGGATTTTGTTTAAGGATCTGAGACAAAGTTTAATACTGGATCCCTTTAATACACTGTAGGTTGTTTTAATCATTCAATTCAATTCAAACATTGCGCTCTTACCGGACTGTTGCTCCCGAAGTTAGGGTCCATTGCTATGCTTCGTATTATGTCGTCTTTGGCTAAACATAAAGCAAAAAAGAACATACCTAGCATCAAAAACCAAGCCTTGCCTTTTTTACAAATACAAAATGTAAGTTTTAATTTGCAAGTGTTTACACTGTTTTTGTATTGATAACGTATTCCTTAAAGTAGACATTCATTGAACATTAAAAAGGATGGTCAATAATTTATCACTAGAAACCAGGAAGCTTGCAGGTGGCAATCGTAGAAGTTTAAGGTAAAAATAAAAAGATTAACACACATATAAGCACCTCTGAAATATACTTCGCCAGAATATGTAGCGATGTTTTGATGACGTAATGTCAGGCACCAATCCTGCGTAAGCAGACAAAGTTCTTTAACTAATGAACATATTCACATTGCCATTATTTCTCAATTATGAGAGTTTGATTTCTTTAAAACATTAATGTATTTCACATCATTCTTATAAAACAAAGAGGAATTGATACTGATCCTGAATTATAATCCTTTGCTTAGAAACATTCAGGACAAGGATTAAATGTTTGATTAAACCATTTCAATATCAGCTACTTTTGAATTGAAAAGCCAGCCAAACAATAGACAAGACGGTGTCCGTTCCTGATTGAAACTTTGCACATGCGTTAGTATGTGGCTGAACGCATCATATATGTTTCCTACAAGCCATGTAGTGAAGCTACAGCTGATTTTTTTTTCTTTTCATGTTACATTTTTCATCAAAATAAACCATGTCCGAAGTTTAGAATGAGTCAACAGATCACACAGTTACAATGAGGCTGGTGAAGTAAGAAAAGTGTCAACAACGAAACAGGAACTAACTAGATGGATCTTTGACTGCGCATAGACGAAAATGATGCCTTCGCCATAGAGCAATTTTACAAACCAAAACAGAAGCAATTTTTAAAATTCATGTTAGTATGTAATCCATTAACAGGTTCTCAGAATATCGTGATGGTATTTTACATATACACGTATGACCCTAAAATCTAATTAGTTCATTGGCTCTGCAAGGTACATACATGGCCTGAGTTAGATAGAAATCCATCAATCGGTTCTTGAGATAACGCGATACAGTACGGACGGACGGACAACCAGAAAACATAATGCCTCCGGATATGGAAGAAGAATCTCCTTTGTTATCCGTGGGGCTGACAGCTGAAAATATAGCGGTTAGGAATGTATTCCTTACATGTATCTTAAAATTCTGGATCTCCCCCCCCCCTCTCCAATCACTACAATCAGTATCATAATATTTTTGAATACAAGATGCATATCCTGTTCGAGATACAAAAATTATCCGCAAGAGTCCCATTACCTGTTTGAGTGTCAGTAACTAATTCCCAGCTGCTAATTGCGCTCTTGGTCACAACATTCTGTTCCGCTCCTTTAGTACTTTTTTCCTCCGGATTAAACCTGTAATGAATATAAAGCACATTCTCATAAAAAGTATTTCTTTACATAAAACTTTAATGCTGTAAGCTTTGTCGTATTAAGCACTGTTCCCACAGCTCTGATACACGACCCTCATATTTTTCCAGTATGTGGACCCTACACTGGTGACTCCTTTTTTAGCTCCTCCCATTTCTTTCACTATTTTGTATAGGTTTTGATTTTTGATTTATTCGTGTTGATTATTGTGATACCAGGCTGACATTCGGACACACAATTATAACCGTAGGGAGGTAAAGTTTTTTTTTTTAAACTTATAAAGTGCAGCTAGCTTTTTGGTTTTATTGTGCGGGTTGTCCCAGGAGGCTTGATCACAAGGCTTCATTCTGGATACATATCGAGGATCATGAAAGTATTTGGGGTTATTCTTTCAGATAACATATCCTTTGAAGTTGGAGTTTAATTCAAGCATTGACAAATATATGATAATGATACTACTACTACTCTACTACTATTGCTACTACTAATAATAAATTCATAACATTCATTTGTTATATGTGCCGAACATGGCACTTCCGAACCAAGCCGAACCGAACGCAAAGGCCTGGTTCGGATGTTCGGCAGAAAAATGTTAACGTTTTCACAAGCTAATTAACTTGTCATTTTCACCTAGTTTTCATGTCATGATTGCTCATTTTATATTTACTTTTTTTTCAGATTTTCCATCTTTGTGATTTAGATCTATGCCTCTCAAGTGGTGGGCGCGACTTCACTGACGCCATTTAAATCCCAAATCCTGACCTCTGCAACGTTGCGATTGCAAGCTATAAACAAGAATACACGTGTGTACTAGGTGCTGATCAAAACAAGTTCAGCTTAAACCCAATCAATAAAAAAATTAACATTTTAGTTGTAACAATATCGGACAAATTCTAAATATTAATAATGGAATAAATGTATATTATAAGATTTTAATTTATTTATTCAGGAAAATTTGGAACTTTGTTATTTACATTATTAAGAATAAACATTTAGAAGAACAGAAAACGAACGAGCCTGGGCGTATATACAATATGGCAGCTTCCATGAATCGTAACATTAGACAACAACGTCTCGGCAAATCTTTAACAAATATCATTTATTGTCAAATTGAAAAAATGATTCTTGTAAAATTGCAAATAAAACATGATTGAAGACGGTAATATGAATGTGAGTACAACTTTTCTTTACAAATAGTTACGTTTCAAGCAGTTTGTTTATGTGAATTTCGTGCCGATTGGAAGCAGCTAGTGTTTTTCATCAGGAGTGGTGGGCAGAAGCAGCTGGTTGGCCCGCCCGCGTAGTTTTTTTTCCCACTTGAGCTCCGGACCCCCAGTATGAACTCATTTGCATACAGCCAATCAGAGCTCATCTCGTCAATAACAAGCTTTAGGCGTGCTAAAGATGCGAAATTCGAAACGGTGCGAAACTCTGGGCTTCACACACGTACACACAGCGCCTTGCCTATATCAGCATGCATGGTGTGCATAGGCATTGCTGGCAAATGTTTCATTTCTGCTCTAGCATCTCTACATTTAGCAAATTTATTACAGATCTACAAATATCAGCCTAGAAATTGCTGTGAAAAACTGTTACTTAGCATTAATTTACAATTACTCTAGCAATCAAGGATAGACCTTTCTCGTCATCGAAGCCACTATATATTATAGGGACTCATTTCTAAAGATCTTACGGTTGAAAATTTATCATAGATCTATACACCTCTAAAAGGCTCTAATAATATCAGCTTAATAAAGTGATGTTCTCAGGTAAGAATTCCTGCAATAAAAGAAGTAACAAATAAAGCTGATATTAAGAGCCTTTTAGAGGTGTATAGAGTCTAGATCTATGATAAATTCTGAACCGTAAAATCTTTAGAAATGAGTCCTTATAATATATAGTGGCTTCGATGACGAGAAAGGCCTATCCTTGATTGCTAGAGTAATTTTAACTTTAGTGCTAAGTAACAGTTTTTTCACAGCAATTTCATGAGCTGATATTATTAGAGGTGTAGATCTGTAATACATTTGCTAAATGTAGATAGATGCTAGAGCAGAAATGAAACATTTGCAAGTCTATGCCTATGCACGCACATCATGCATGCTGATATAGGCAAGGCGCTGTGTGTATGTGTGTGTTGAAGCCCAGCTAAAGCTTTGCACCGTTTCGAATTTCGCATCATAGCACGCGTAAAGCTTGTTATTGACAAGATGGGTTCTGATTGGCTGTATGCAAATGAGTTCATACGGGGGTCCGGAGCTCAAGTGGGAAAAAAATTACGCAGCCCGCCCGGCCTGGCCGCCCAGTGCCGACTACCGTAGTTATATTAACACTGCTTGCTATTATATTACCGAACCCCGAACCAAATTATGCAAGTTCGTGTAAACGATTGCCGAACTCTGCCGAACCGAACCGAACCCGAATATGGCGCCTGACTTAATACAGCACTAGATTAGAGTATAATGCATCTCTGTAGAAAACTTGAAAGAAATCTGTCAAGAAATATGACCATTAACCCTATAACAGATGGAACACAGGTGGCAACATCACCAAACACTAAAGATGTGTAGATTTTACTAAGACACACCTCAATAGATTTGAAAGAAATCCGTCAATCCAAAATGTGGCAATTAGAGCACATAAAAGACATATGACCTTCGACCATATAAAAGATGGAACAATGAGGACAGCATTGCCCAAAAGTGTAGCTGTGTAGATTGTACCAAGATACATCTCTATACAAAATTTGAAAGAATTTCAACAAGAAATGGGGTCTGCAGAGTGCACTCATGCCATCTTGCAAAATATGAACTGTTGACCCTATAAAACACGGGACACTGGTGGCAGCATCACCAAAAACTTTAGGTGCACAGATTTTACCAACATACACTTCCATACTCAATTTGAAAGAAATCTGTCAAGAAATGATGCAGTTAGACCGCATAAAAGACAGCCACCAAAATATGACCATTAACCCTATAACAGACGGAACACAGGTGGCAACATCACCAAACACTAAAGATGTGTAGATTTTACTAAGACACACCTCCATAGATTTGAAAGAAATCCGTCAATCCAAAATGTGGCAATAGACCAGTTCACGGTTAGCACATTACTGCAATGACCCCGAATATCCACAGATCTTCAAAACATGAAGAGGTCCAACTTTGTACATTTTGAAATAATCACTCCAACAGCGATGGAGGTGCTACATAAATAGCCTTTGTTTCCCCTTTTCAAAAAATACTTCCACCTGTGTATCATGGAGTGCATAAATGAATAATGATTACATAACTTTCTTGAGCACGTTTCCAGTATTTCGTCTCCGTGTATTTCACAATTTGTTCTGCAATGACCTTTATCTGCTCATGCTCAGACTGCAACCGTGAACTGGCTTATTAGAGCGCATAAAAGACATATGACCTTCGACCATATAAAAGATGGAACAATGAGGACAGCATTGCCCAAAAGTGTAGATGTGTAGATTATACCAAGATACACCTCCATACAAAATTTGAAAGAAATCTGTCAAGGATTGTGGCAGTAAGAGAGCACACAAGAATATGACGCGGCAGACACGGTGGCGGCGTAACGCTGCTGAATTCAAAGTACCCCACCGGCATACCACCGAGGGATACAATTAACAAAGATAGAAGACAACAAATAAATCTGTGATTTATGATGCAATAAATTTGTCTTAGCATCTTCCGGGCTTCTCTGTTTTCTTTTAATAACTTTTTGAATGTTTGGAAAAATTATGCATCTCATGATAGATATTTTAAGCGATTATTTTTACAGAGAAAGTATGATCATTCATTTCACTTACTCCTGTCCTGTGAGTCGACGGATTAGGCTTGTCTTGCCAACACCTGCAGGACCAATGACCATTATTCTAGATCTGTTCCACGGGGCTTCTCCCTTCCTAATTGCTTCTTGAATGCCTGTGTCAATATCTGCTGGCACTAAAGTTAGAGGAAAAGGGAAAGAAAGTTAAAGCGTTAAAAAATTAAAACAGGTGTAGACACTATGAATATGACTGACAAAGAAAGCGGACAAAATATACAGTTCCTCAGGTAAACAAAGGAACATCCCTTCACTGCTATTATGTAAAAAGGTGAATATGCATGTGACACCTGTTCTACACATTTTTTACATAATAGAAGTGAAGGGATGTTCCTTTGTTTACCTGAGGAACTGTATATTTTGTCCGCTTTCTTTGTCAGTTATGTTCATAGTGAGAAGTGTGTGGAAGCTAGGTCAAGCCTGGAAAAGTGCAGGTAATGAAAAAAAAAATTAAATTTGTTGCATCGTTAAACATGGCTGTATTTCTCTCACGAGTCCCAGAAAAGTAATTCTAAATCTCTGATTGTGCATTTGTTTGGGCAAAAAAGAAAGCAGCCTATTTCTGTTTTAATATCACTAGTGTCTAAATTTTGAGAAATTTGATATGCGCTTGTGTTGCCATTTTTGCAATGTAATTTAGAGAAATGCCAATACAGCTGTGGATAATTTACTCGCACAAGATTAACATGCCAACATAACAAAGCAATACATTGTCGCAAGTGTTCAATTTCGGAAAAAGAGAAAAAGAAAGAAAAATAGAAAAAGAAAGAGAAGGAAAAAATTAAGAGGAATCAATTCTTTGCAATTGCCAGATCAACTCTTTGGAATCAACTACCACAGCCTCTTAACCGTATTTAGCCTTGGGGAGGGGGACTTAACTTCTCCATTTTTCACGATCATTTTTCCACACCAAAAAATTATTTAATGGCCGCCTTCCAAGCTTTCCTATCTGTGGGATCCACACGGCCGACACCCGATGTTTTGGCATCCTCTTCGATGGCTTCCCTCCAAGTTTTCCTGGGTCTCCCACGAGGTCTTCTTCCGGTGACCGGGAAGTTTAGGGCTCTCTGGAGCCAGTGTGTTGCCTCTCTTCTTGCCACATGTCCAAACCATCTAAGTCTATTCATCCTCATAACCTGTGCCACCCCCATCAATCCCATTGATTGAAGGAAGACTTTGTTCTTCTTTCTCTCGTGAAGTGATACCCTGCGCATCCACCTCACCATCCTCATCTCAGCTTTCTCCATTCGCTGTACACTGGATGATTTCATTGCCCATGTTTCGCTCCCGTACGTCATGCATTTTCTAACACAGGCATCATACACCTTCCCTTTCACTCTTAACGGGGTCGCCCTTGAGGTGAGGAAAGGAGAGAGTTCACGAAACTTTTTCCAAGCACTTTGGATTCTTGCATACAGCTGCTGCTTCTTTGCAAGAAACTTTTCTTGCATCTGACGAACGGTGAATATCGCATCGATAGTTCCCTTTCCTGGCATAAAGCCAAACTGCATTTCATCAACTGCAACCTGCTCTCTAATTCTTTTTTCCAGAACTCTCTCGTAGATCTTCATGGCATGCTCGAGAAGCTTGATGGCTCGATAGGACCCACAGGCCAGTGGGTCTCCTTTCCCTTTATAGAGTGGGACTACTGCACTCAGAGTCCAGTCAGATGGAATGTGACCTTCATCTAGAATATCATTGAACAGATCTATCAACCACTCAACACCATGCTTCCCTGATGCTAGTATGAGTTCCGTGACCACTCCTGGACCAGCTGCCTTTCCCTTGCTGGAGAGTAAAAGGGCGCGAGCAACCTCACCTTGTGAGATGAGACATCTTGGCCCCTCTGTTGCGTCACACTCAGTGATCCCATCCCATGAGTTTTCAACATTCATGAGGCGTTTCATGTAACTCCTCCACGCTTCTTTCACTGAAGCAGCCTCAATGACAATGTTTTCAGCCTCATCTTGCACACATGTTGGGCCCATCACGCCCACAGCAGCTTGTGCCATCTGCCTAACTATCTGGAATAGTTTCTTTTGATTCCCTTCTGTTATTTCCTCCAGAAGCTCGCTTCTCTTGGCCTCCTGGGCTTTCCAAATCACTTGTCGTGAGTTTCTCTTTGCTATCTTGTATGCTTTGTGGTCTTCCTCCCTCCCTGAATGATTCCAGATTTTAAACTTTGCATTCTTCTCCTCAACAGCCTCTGCGACATCATCATTCCACCACCATTCTTTGTGTCTGCTTTTTCCGATTACACGATATATTTTTTGGATTACACGGTTTACACGGTTCACCTGAATCGTGTAACTGTGTAATCGTGTAGATTTACACGATTGAAGATTGTCGCTCTGAATCGTGTAATCGTGTAAATAAAAAAGTGCATTGGTGGGATGATTCGACCAGATGCAACAAACGTGTAACTGTGTAATCGTGCAAATTTACACGATTGAAGACTGTCGCTCTGAATCGTGTAATCGTGTAAATAGTTATAATGGTTATAAGGGCATTGGAAGGATGACTCGACCAGTTGCAACAATCTGCTAATCGTTTCTTGCTTTCACCACTCCCTTAAACCAAGTAATTGCTTTTTACACCACTTGCCTACATCAGGTAATTACTGTACTTTATATTCGTGTATAAATCTCATCACTTTCTACTAACCTGCACCATGAGACAAGGAAGGAAAACGTCAGAAAGAAGAAGACATGATAGATGAAAAGTACAGGAAAAAAGATAGCTACGAGGAGAAGGGTACATATAAAAGGAAAATAAGGGTTGAAATGGCACGATAAATATAATTAAGAAGAAAAACTTTGCAAGAGAGAAAAAAGGAAAACGAAAAAAACTTTAACGGAAGAAAAGAAGGGCGAAACATAGTGAAATAAATAGAAATGAGAAGTAGAAAGGCTTTGAAACGGAGAGGAAAAAAGAGAAAAATAAAAAAGATAAGAGTGGAACACGATGAAAGAAAGAGAGGCGAGAAAGATAAAGGGGGCAGTGGAAAGATAGTGAGAGAAAGAGAGAGAGAGTGAACAAGAGAAAGAGAGAGAGGGATGAACAAAGCATTAGTTGAAAGAAAAGGGGCACTGATCAGATTTTAATAGGGGCATTAATCGGAGTTGATGGGGGCATTTATCAAAAGTGAAGAGGGGCACTTCTCGTACCTAAAGAGGGATAATACTTAATTGAGATTATAAAGGACACTTATGAGAATTGAAAATGGACACTTATTGTTAAGGAAAATAGGAACTCGTCGAAGGAAAAGGGGCGCGTGTCAAAATAAAATAAAATAAAAGGGTCCAAATGAAAGGGGCACTTTTCAGAGTTTAAAAAGGGAAGGGGCACTTTACAAATGAATACGGGCACTTGTCAAAGTAAAATGGGGACTTTTCCTACGTATAAAGGGGCACTTTGGGGATTCTTGAAAAAGTGGGGGGGGGTGGGGGTGGGCACTGTACTGCTAGCTAAACGTAACGCAAAGCCAGTTGGTCATTCACTTATTATATTCATTCTCGTCTTGCTACTGCTTTCTGTACTCTGTAGCCAGTGGCTTAGATCCGAACGTAATACCTATTGTTCAGGAGATCATATGTTCAAAGGGGGTCCCCCTGAACAATAGGTATTATGTAAGCATCTCTGTCTGTAGCTAGGACAACGCCCCCGGCGAGGGTCAATGGCAGGCCACATTCAGAGTAAGCTTCTTTTGTATGTGACAGGAAGTGTGCTATTAAGTCTTGACCGTAGTTCTTCACACATGTAGCTGAATGCAATGTTGTTAAATGTAATTTACGAAAAAGAGGAAAGCCAAAAAATGGAAAGCCAAAATAATAATGATCTTGACATAAAAGGGGAAGGGGCACTTTTTACAAATTAATAGGAGCACTCGTCAAAGTCAAAGGGAGATTTTTCCTATCTACAAAGGGGCACTTCTTACAAGGTTGAAAGGGCACCTTTTTTATGCAAAACGGAGCATTTTTGGGGTACTTGAAAAATTGTGGGGGGGGGGGCACTGTACCACTAGCTAAATGTAACACAAAGACAGTTGGCCACTCAAATTTTCTAGTCATTTTCGGCTTGCACCGTCAATTTTACATCTAAAAAATAAGGAAAAAAAGACGGGCCCCCACCCTTGGGGAAAAAAAGTCTTAAAAAAGATTTCCACAATTTTACCTTTTAATTTTTTCCTCAAGGGGGGGGGGGGGTTGTTAAGTAAAACAAAAATAGTGCTCACTACCCCCACCCCTACACACTTATGCGCCGCTGAATATTTGTTCATGAATTGGGCCCCCCTCCCTCACCACCGGCTGGATCCGCCCCTGTCGTGTAAAAAAGCCAGTGGCTTAGATCCTTAGGGGAGACCGGGGACAATATTATTGTTACACCTTTTTCCAATTCTAAAAGAAAATTCTGACATTTCAATTTTATTATAGTTATATAGGCTACTTACTTAAAGGTATATGAAATGAAAGATGCATTTCTTGGCTTGAAATATGACTAGGTTTGAGTCAAGTGAAACATGTTATTATCAAGTTATTATCAAGCCATTATCATATCATTATCATATCATTTCATATCATTATCATATCAATACTGGTAGTCAAGTGTTAAAATTGCCCCATATTAAGACGAGGCAATTGTAACACACCTATGGGGCAATCCTAACCAAATACAGTTGTACCTACAAATCATATATCCCTCAGAAAATAGATTTGTTTTCTTCTTTTTTTCCCCAAAGATTATGCGCTGGATAGATTTTCATCAATTAAACAATATTTTAAAGAACCCCAATAAAAAAAATAAAAATAATAATGTCTATGACATATGCTTGACTCATCTACATTATATTTTCTCCAGTTACGTGGGGAGAATTATACTAGTTAAAACGTTGTTACATTTGCCCCCTAGGAGGGCGGCCATACTTTTTTTGTTGTATCCTCTCATTAAATTTCGTCCTTGAAACTTCGCCTAATACAGAGCCTAAAATCTTATTTTTTGACCATATAAAAAAGACAGTGATAGCACAAGCACATATTTGTCCAGATTTTTTATTTATTTTTGTTATTTCTTTTTAGGTAATTGAAGATTTTACTCCCGTGCTAAAAACCCGATGTCTTGAACTCGTATTGCATCACGTGCATCAGTGGCGGATTCAGGGGGGGGGGGGCCGGGGGTTGGCCCCCCCCCCCCCCTTGAGAAAAAAAATCATGTAAAATCACGTGATTTTTACCTTTTTGGGGGGTTGGGCCCCCCCCCCCCCCCTGGCGCTCATAACATATATCATACTAGGTCGAATCATTATATTCCTTCCAACTTCGATCTTGTTACTGACTCACATGATTATAATACAAGGAATTCAACTTTAACTTGCCAGAAAGAATAATTAGTATTGGTGGTTCGTTTTATTACGATGGCATACAAAATTTTGAATTCCCTTCCTAATGATATAAAGGAAATAGAAAACTTTGCTTATTTTGAGAGTCAGAGAAGATCGAAGCGAATGACATATTATATGATTGAAATTTGTATTCTTCTGCGGGTTCATACCTTTTCATTTTGTACATACTTATGTTTTTTTACGTAATATAAAGTTCTACATATTCATCATTATTTTCCTCTTCCTCCTAGCTCCTCCTCTTTTTCTTCTTCGCCTTCTTATTTTCTTATCATTTCTATCATCAGTTCAATGTTGTTATTATCATTATCATCATTATTATCTTTAATAAGTTTGATTTTCTCTTTCTTATCTGTCTCTAAATATTACTATTTTAACTTATTAATTGTGTATATATCTGTCGGGGACCCCACTGGAAATAAGCTCTCGAGCTTTCGTAGGTTATCCTGTTCAAGCTGACTTAATTTTGACCTGTTATTCTTGTATATTGTTGTATGTTGGAAGCTGTGCAGGGCGTATACGCAAAGCGCGTTTCTACTATAGGGGTGGGAGCCGCTGTTACATTTGCCCCTTGTTACTTTTATCCCCTTAAACATATGACCCCCTGAACAATAGGTTTTATGTAAGGATCTACAACACTACCTGTAGTTAGGGCAACGCCCTTAGTCCCCGGTGAGGGTCAAATGACAGGCTACATAAAGCTTCCTTTGTATGTGACAGGAAGTGTGCCATTAATCCTTGACCGTGGCTCTCCATACATGTAGCTGAATGCAATGTTGTAAAAGATAATTTACAAAAATGAGGAAAGTCAAAAAAGCAATAAGTAATCAAAATGTAATTGTTTGTGACCCTTTTCAAGCTGCCAATGACGTAAAACATATTTAGCCAAGGCCAGGAACTCTCGTGGGGGAAAATGACGCCCCTCGCACTCTCATGGATAATGACGGAATAAAACACATAGTATAACGACATTTATAGTAAGGAATGAGCTGGTGAACATAATTCAATTGGTATTGCCTTGTAATGTAAAAGTATCACAACATACTTAGTTATGTTAGCCCTCCTTTAAGTTTTCTAATATTGTTTTATATTTCTTTACAACTATAAGGACTACCCTCCCTTCCTTTGTCGTTCATCACTTTTTTCTTTCTTTTTTCTCACCGAGGATTAAATCCGAGAGTGCTTTTCGGGAAGTGAACTGATTTTTTATGTTCAAACAGTCTAAAATTAAACTAGAGACACACAACGCAACTAAAAATATATAAGAGAGACATAATGCGTAATCTTCGCTCTCCCCCTCGTCCCCGTTGTCTTCGTTCAACCCTCCCCCTCTCAGCTGTTGGTTATTCCTGCTTCTACTGAACTAGACATTGTAATCTGCTCATCATCACCACCACTGAAAATAAATTGTTACACAATTCCAGCGAGCAATCAAATCGTGTAAATTTTGAATCGTGTAATCGTGTTGCGGAGATTTTCGGCATACAGATTACACGATTACACGATTCGACCTGAATTGAGGAATCGTGTAATTTTACACGATTACACGTTTACACGATTCAAATTTCGCTTAGTTGGCAAAAGACGAATCGTGTAAAATAAATGGTTACACGATTCCCGCGAGCATTCGAATCGTTTAAATTTTGAATCGTGTAAATCGTGTTGCGGAGATTTTCGGCGTGTACTGTATTATAAACAGTAGAAATTTTGCCCCTAAAACACTTCTGCTTTCGAGAAAAATAGAATATCAAAATTTACCGGTGCTCCTGGTAAATTTTGATAAATTTCAAATAGTGCCTATATGGCCGTTCAATGGTAGCTACGACCATGAAAATCTCAGAATATGTACCGGTAGTTGTGATATATAATTTCCAAACAGGAATATCCAATTGGTTGGTTTTAGTCAAGAAACATTGTTTTATAGCTAAATTAATATCTTGATCTTGAGAGGGAGCTATACAACATAAAGAGTTTATTATTTACAATTTCATCTTCAGACTCAATTTCAACCGCGACAACAATCACTGAATATTGTAGGATTGCATATGCTTCCTACTGTATATGTTCACTTGAACAAAATTAGGACCCCATACCAAAACTTTATATTACCTTTAAATATGAAGAATATATGATTTATGGGTAAAAATGTGAATTTAATGATATTGATTGTATAAATTACTATAAATATGTAAATGAGTGAATTTTTCCAAAAATTAAAATTACCATGATTTTCTATACACTTCACATGCATGCACATTTTGCAGCGATCGGCCGTTTGACGACAGAGATGTTAGGGGGGGGGGTCAAATAAGCCCCCCCCCCCCCACCCTCCGGGCTACGCAATTTCAAAACAGGGTTAAAGTAGTGGTGCATTGATTTTAAATATTTATTTAGTTTCTATCATTGCACAAGGGAAGGTTAGTTCGATCAAGGTTACCAAAATCGCCCACATTCAAAGTAACAAATATTGTCAATTTTAAAACGCTAAAATACCGCCCCACTTTCGCATTTGAAAAACTCTCAAGATTACTGCCGAGATTCGTGACGTCACTCAAGGAACCAAATTAATGTAAGCAGATGATGTCCCATAACAATGCACATATTCAGTGCCTGTTTCTCCTCTTCACATATTTCTCTTACTTTACTTGCTTGTGTCATTGTAACTATTTGTCCTGTTGCCTTAAAAAATTTCAGACATGGTTATATTGAAAAAATGCAGCATTATAAAAATAAAATGAATCAATCAAAAAAGGATATAAAATCTTTTTAAACATGTTGAAAAGAGAATATTTTTATGTAAATTGGCCTGTGAAGTATTAAAGTAAATAAAAACCTGACTTGTATTTGCAACTGACGATGTTCATTGTAATTTCAAAATGGATTGTGTGTTATAAAATTAGTTACTCTTACTTTTTAGAGTTGAATTTAACTATTCTTAATAGTGGAAATGGACTGCATTCATGACAGTTGTTAACATGCACCCTATTTTCATGATTTTTCTTGCACAATAATGAGAAGAACACTTTTCTTAAATTGTCATCGTTTTCGAACAAAATGCACAGACAGGCATATCTTCAACATAACCTTTCATATTTCAAATGTCTATAGTACTGCATGAAGGGATATGCCATCTTTGATCAATCATTCAATTATACAATTTTGGTATATACAGGTACAACCTAAATATAATAATTAGGGGTCTATCTTATTTTACCCTAATGAAATTTACCCTAATGAAACTTACCTTCAGGTATTTTGTCACTTTGTACACTTATTCCACTGGTGGAGGGAACATCTAAATTTGGTGGAATGACGAATGTGGGGTGAAGGAGATGTCTGATGTATTCACGTTGTTGCCCAAGATCCATTTGCCTAAACTCTTCTGACTTTTCATCCAAGTGTAGCTTCTTGCTAAAGAAATAGTTCTGAGAGTAAGATAAATAGTCAAAACTGTTTCAAACAATTAAACAATGGTATTTCATTTTCTCTCTCCGTCTCTTTGTCCTTCACAAACACCTGCACAAGCACTCAAATGTAAACATTTAGACAGAATAATTTATACACCTCAAAGCCTTTTCCCTTGATTAATGAGTACTTACTACAAACAAAATTATTAATATTTCTCAATGGAACTTCCCTTAACACAAACATGAGGAAATGATGCTTATCTAATTAATATTGTGGTACTTTCTTTCCTATAAGGTTGTACATCTAAGTACTATGCTGTAAACTCAACAATCGATGTTTTTTTTTTTATAGCGATCATATGTTGTAACATAATCTATGTAAACATGCACAAAAATAACAATTTTGGTATCCCAAGTGTAGATCAAAATTAAATAAAAATCGACCCACTACTCACGAGCTTTCTAAACTGTATGAGCAAAAATTCATGATCAATTACATCTAGTTCAGGAATGATCATCGTATGCATCCATATTAGAAATATCCAAGAGTATTCTCTTGAAAAATCTGCATTTGTAAACGAGGATACCAATAATTTTGAAGTATATTAGTTTATTACTATTACCGGTACTATTCTCTTCTATATATGGTTTCGTTCCTGTTATGAGCTTACAATCATATTGATATGAATATTGTTGTTACTAAAAAGAGCCTCATGGAAGACCAACATTGGTGAAAATATGCTATTTGTTATAACTCTGATAAATCAATGGATGAATAGCTAGACACTTAGGTAAATAGATAGATGTATAGATATCATATGAGTTTGAATTTTTATTAACAACAACCATAAAAAGTAAAACATAATGTATCAATCATGATTACATAGAATATAACAATCTAATACAAGATGAATGACATCACACATGAATAATATAAACATTGTTTTTACAAAATATGTTATATACAAATGAAAGAAAAGATTATGTGTACCCATTGGTTGTTAAAGATAAACTTGAGTTCTGGTAATGCGATTGCAGTGTGAAAGAAAAGGTGTGGAATGGATCAGAAAAGTTGATCATATAGCATGTAAGTAATGGTGTGTAATGCAAGGTTCTGGAGTCATCAAAATCATCATAAATTTGGCAGAGTCTTGGTAAAGTAACAATCACTTACACAGAAAGATGTATATGGGACAACACACATGATGTTGGGGCTAGTACTACCCTGATTTCCTTATCTTTCTATACTCATCACTCAGCCAGTATACATTTTCTTCCAAAATTGTTTGGCACATGACATTTATTTGTAATCTTGAACATTCAGTGTAAGTTTCGTTAGATTCTGTGAGAATTCATTTTCTTTTTTTTACCAGAACTCAAATTTATCTTTAAAGGGGGTATCAGAAGTTAGCACAAGTGCTAGTCGAGTCTGGTTCCCTGTCTTTGGCAAGAATTTGTTTACTATTTTTTACTATTACTATACTATATTACATATATAATGAAAGTAAACAAGGAAATAGAATAGTCAATTAAGAAATATTCCTTACTTAAAATATACATTCAAGTCAAATGTATGTCGACTTCCATAACAGAACACAAAATAAAGAAATAATACATCATTATCTAATGTAATGATCTTTTTAGAAATTCTCTAATCTGAGATTTTGTATTTGCCATTTCAAGAAGTCTTAACTTTTGGTAACTCAAAGTATTTAGATGATTCATTAACCCCTTCCGAAAAGCATTTCTAGATCTTTTTGCTCTTAAATCATATGGTATACTATTCCATATTTTCACGCCCATAAATTATATTGAGAATTGATCTTGTGTGGTTTTGCATTTAGGCAGATATAGTTTTCCATGTTCTTGCCCCTTGTGCCATACCTGTGCTCTATTACCTGACAGTATTCAATTAAGGAGTGAAGAAGATTGCGATTTAATAGGTCATAGATGAAGGTTGAGACAGATAGGAATTGAAGGTTGTAAAGAGGAGGCGCGATAGCTCAGTCGGTAGAGCAGTGGTCTCGTAATCTGGTGACCCAGGTTCGAAACCAAGTCTATGCGCTAGTGCCCTTTGGTAAGGCATTAATCCTCATTACCAGGTCCCTCGGAGAGGACCTAAAGCCGTTGGCCATCTGGTTGCTTACTTACAAGCATTTATGCTTTCTTAGCAGTCAGGTAAAATAACCACCGCCACAATATTTAAAATGTTTATGTTTTGGAACAGGGGTTCCAAATGGGTACCTCTTGGGCTAAAGGTTATTGCTCTTATCGCCATTTTCTGGGTAAGGAAAATACAATTCAAATTGGTTTTGTATGTGGTTCCCCATACTTCAAATCCATACAAAATATGTGGCTGGATTAACGCTTTGTATAATAGCCCTAAAATGTTCTGTGGGACAATAACAAGTTTTTATTTCAATAGGTAAAATGCTTTTTGCTTTAGTCAAATTTGTTTCATTATAACAACTGATGATATAAGGTAAATATATATAAAATTGGGAACCAGTGCATTGCTTAATAATTGTCACATGTCACACCACTGTTCACATCATAACTTTATTCAATTTAATTGCTTTTCTTTGGGAATTATTGACCTAAGTTACATTAATTGTTTGCAGACTGAAAATACTTCTTAAACATTTATGGACAAAATTCTGCAGTTTTAATTAGTTTAGCACATATTCCTAGTTTGTCTTCATCGACTTCTCAATTTTTGTAAGGTATACTGTTCATTTCAAGAATGTGTGGTTATAAATGCTTATGTGATCTAACAGAGTGAAATATGAAGTTAATAGCAATTGTAGTCATCAAAACTGCTTAGAAAAATCAATTAACTCTTGCTGTGCAGATATCAAAGGTGACAAACAGTATAGGTTAAACATGTATCTTAGATTGCACATTGCTCCAACGGGTATGTGGATACCAATTAGATGTTCGGAGCGTAAATCAAGTATTCTAGTTATCTGTGAAACATTATAGATTCATATAGAATACAATTTTGTACAGGATCCTTTGAATTTCTCTGTTTAACGATAAACGATGGCTAATGAATAAGCAAGAGAAAAAGGAGAATCATTATTAAAGCCCATTTAGATTTCACACTAGCTTATAAACATGAATGCATACATTTGAGGAAGATACTGGTTGTTTAGGATCATTACATAGGATATTAATGCTGTTTTCTGTTTTTATTTCTCCCTGGCCTTTGTGTTACGATTGGTGCGTGTTATCAAATATCTCTTGAAATAACTTTTAAAACATGTCATATGCTTTAAACATATTGCTAAAAAAGAATTTGAATGAAATTGTAAAACCTCTGACTTATATTTGCAATTTTTCTATCTCTACTGGAGTTGTTCCCTCAGCAATGAAATTAGCTCGAGTTATTCTTATATTTTAAATAGGAAACAATATGGTACTAGGAAATTACCGACCTATATTGCTTCTAATTTGTTTGTCTACAGTTTTGGAAAAATAGTTTTTACACATACATCTAAGTTCCTGGAAACACATGAATTTTGAAACCATGCAGTTGCAGTTTGGGTTTCGTTCAAAACACAGCACTACTCAGGTGTTGTTGACCATGATTAATAAGATTGCTAGTGGGATTGATAAATATGAATATACTGTTGGGGTGTTCCTGGACTTCTCCAAGGCTTTCGATACAATTAATTAGGTGGTCTGTTGTCAACAGACCACCTATTGATTTCGTCAGAATTTTCTTTCTTCTTTATTATTATTTCTTTATTTTTATTTATTTCTTCACTTTTTTGTGTGTCGGATAACGTAAAATTGGTAGGGTCAATTGCTTTTAATTTTGGCACAGGCATAGGTCATTGTCATAAGACGTGACAGAAACATTTTCAAGGTGATCAGGTTATCGTGACGTCATTTAGGCGCCATTTTGTGAAATCACATTTTCAATCATATCTTCATGATGCGTCATCAAAGGTCATTCATATTAATATCACGTATACTTCAGGTCAAGGGTCAACAGGTCATGTCATCAAAGGTCAAACAAAGGTCATGACGCGCGCAAGCGCGCGCGTCAAAATTTAAAATTGCTCAAAATCACTTCACTATTAAACGAGAGTACGAATCAGGTCATTTTAAGCATTTCAACATTTTCCGTCCGTTCGTGTCCCCGCGCGCGGTGTGCGCGCTCACAGCGCGCGGAAAAGGTCAAATTCAAAATGTTTACATGATTTGGATTCCTCTTAACGTAATTGACAATTTACATTAATTTCAGTAACTCTTCATATTTCATAAGGCCGTAAGCGTGCGTCAAAGTTCAAAATCCGCGCGTGCTGCTATGGGCAATATAATGCAAATTTGATCAAAAACATGCCATTTTAAAAATCGAAATAGCTCTTCAGATAGTCCATTGACCCCCAATTTTTATATCATGGTTGGAGAGAGAATGAGTTGGAGATATGATTTCATACCACCCTGACTCGTACAAAGTGAAATAAAGTCATCATATTGGCATCTAAACTCAAACAAATGTATTTTGTTGATGACGTCATTTTTGTCTTTGTTTAATTGAGATTATCTCACTTATCGGTGATCGATTTTTTCCCATATTTTGATATGTTGTAGCTGAGATAATTCTCTATCAGAATTATGCCATTTATTCTTTATTTGGATGACGTCATCATAGTTAAATATTCGATTAAAGGCGACAATGCATAATTTGTCATATTTGCGTGTTATGTCTATGGGAGGTCACTTTTTTCAAAACATGAATCTGCATGACAATGTGTTTTGACCAGTATCTCGGTTGTTATTCAACAATTCTCTCCCAAATATTAGTATGTTGTAGCTGAGACTGTATGCTATCTAAATATTTCCTCATCTTTTCAATCAGATGTCAGGATCATGCTCATGCTCGTCATCATCATCATCATCAACATCATCATCATCAATGTCACCATCATCATCATCATCATGGTCTGAAGATGATCATCGTCAACATCATCATGATCATGATCATTATCATCATCATCATTAACATTATCGTTTTTATCATTAGATAACATTATCATTATCATCATCATCATCATCACCTTTACTATCATGATCATCACCATGTTCATCACGATCATCATTGTTTACATGTCTATATAACTTCTCCCATTCTCAAATCTATCATAAGACTTAGACAGACCACCTTATTCGTCTTCGTGACGATTTAAATTCTAGTTATTATATACTTTTGTACAAACTCGGTTATTATGGAATCAGAGGAATAGCCTTGGTGTGGTCCAGGAACTACCTTCACAATAGGCAGCAGTACGTGTTTCTATTGCCAATGCCCTGTCTAATACCAAAGATGTAAGTGGTGGTGTCCCTCAAGATTCTATCTTGGGCCCGCTTCTATTTCTTATTCATATCAACGATTTCTGTAAGTCTTCAGAGGTTTTATCTTTAATTCTTTTTGCAGACGACTCAAATTATTTCTTTACCCATAAAGACCCACATTTTTCAATCAAGATCAAGGTGTGGGAGACTATACTTAGCTGTGAAAGGTGTTCTACCGCCCCAATCCCCTTCTCCGGATCGAACGATTTTTGTTTTTGGCGGAAAATGGGAGAAATAAACAATGTTTGTTTAGCATTTGTTACCTTACCTTTGAGGAAGAAGCAAGAAGAGCAAGCTCATGGTAGAAATCATCATGTAGCCATAGATGATAAGACTCCCTCATTGTTAAGTCGGTAAGCGAAGGCAAAAGACAAAGAAACTTGGCTAGGTCACGTGATGCCTTTGGATCATTTCCCTCAGGTTACAGTCTATGCAGAGCTTTGTTATCTGTTTAGAAATCAGAGAAAAAAACTCAGAGAAAAAATACCGTACCTCGCATTTAGATATACCCTTAACCCTATATAGCCTGGGTAGGCTAGGAATATTGTGTCATTTTTTAGGTAAACGTCAAACAAATTGCAATAAAATATTTTTCACTGCAATGCATTTCAGTAAGGTCCCCAAAATGACATATTAAAAGTCCAAAAAAATCCAAGTAGTGGAAGTGTGCCAAAATGGCCGCTTTTTCGAAGATTTTCACCGATATCGAGTTGCATTTCTTATCATAGGTAATTGTTTTGGCACTTTAAAGCACAAATTTCACATTTATATGAATGTAATATGGTTTATATATCATATACAGAGGTACATCTTGTTTAATTGTGCATCGCAGCATTCATAAATCCAAAATGGCCGCCAATATACTAAGATTTACACATAGGTTTTGTCATATGTTTCAACTTGTAGAGCTGTTGTGGCACTAATAGAGTTGGAAAAGTAATCTGCTGTACATTTTTAATCAACTAAAATACCCATATGCAACATGTACATCACACACCTCAAACAAACCCCTTCGCACACTCACACCCACACCCACACAGTCTAACATGTAATTTATGTTCAGTTTATCCCCTTTGCAGATTATATTATTTCATTATGCATGCACTAGACTATAACAACACAAATATCATGCCATTTTATATTAAATAAAAAACAAAAATAAAATATTCAGAAAACTAGCCCTTATGAGTATCCGACAAACACAAGAGCTGTTGGTAGGGTTACATGTACATGTGTGCAGGAAAGGAGGCACCCTTCAACTGTAGAAGTCAAGCTTCCACCAGAGCAGTATTATATACCGTTCAATTAGATAGAATGGACATTATTACTCCAACTGAATAAAGGACAATATACACCATCTAACTGTAGAATAGATACCTGCCAAGTTTAGAATAGGCACCCTCCTCCAGAGCCCCGTTCAACGATGGAGTATAGACGTTTTCCAAGTGTACAGTATTCACAGCTGAAGTTTTATTGATCTTAACTGTATATTAGATGTCATATCATTTGCCTTATATTAAGCATTTACACCATGGAGAGCTGTTGTTTTTGCAATAAATCATTGAGTGATGGAGGGCCTACAGTTGAGCTAGGATCTAAAGGCAGTGATGGAGTGAATCGTGCAAGCGAACAGCGTGAAAGCAATATAAATGTACATCCTGGACAAGTTGTACACGTGAAATGCCGTCGAGACTACTGTGAACCAAATAGAATCGCAAAGGAGGTAGCATCAAAACATGTTAAAGTTTAAGAAGAACGTACAGGACTTCGTTCACTCCAACCACCCTTCGATTTCAGAAAGCACTGTATATTCTGTGGACAACCTGCTAAGTATGATGGGAAAAGGCGAGGATTTGACGTTATCCCTGTCAGAACCAAAGAATTCCAGGACTCTGTTACACAGATATGCATACAAAGAAATGATACTTGGTCCCAAATTGTGTCTGGAAGACTTGCATCTATCAATGATCTTCCCGCAGCTGATGCTGTATACCATAAAAAATGCATGGTGAACTTTAAAACTGACAAACAAATACCAAAGGTATACTCTGTGAGCACAAGCACTTCCAAAAAGGCTAAAACTGGCCGACCTAAAGAGGAGGTGAAATTGACTGCATTCTTAAAAGTAGTTGAGTTCCTGGAGGAAAATGATGAGGAACAAACAACAGTAGTTGATCTCGTTACTAAGATGCAACAGTATTTACTGGATACAGATCATGAGGCCTACAGTGTGGTAAACATGAAAAAGAAAATACAGGGGCACTTTGGTGAGAGAATCGTTATAAATGAACTGAACGGAATTCATGATGTAGTTACATTTCGTAGCACAGTTAGTGCTATTCTGTATGAATTCCACAAGCAGCCAAAGGACAACACACCAGAGCAGGAGAAAATGAGGATTATAAAGACTGCTGCCTCGCTCATAAAGAATGACGTCAAGTTAAAGAAAATTGCAAGTGATGTTTACCCAACTCCTGCTGAAATGTCATCTACCACTGCTGCACTTGCATTTCTCCCTGATTCCCTGCAAGTGCTATTAAGGAACATGTTTGTTGGCAAAAAGGTAGATGTGAAGCTGGCGTCTATTGGGCAAGCCATAATGCACGCAATACGGCCAAGGGTTCTCCTTGCTCCTCTCCAGCTTGGACTTGGAATACAAATGCATCATCTCGTCTCGTTTTCTGATCGACACACTGCATGCGCAATGCTTCTCCTGCTCTTATCAAGAGGTTATGAAATATGAAAGAAGTGCAGCAGTTTCTCAAGGCTATGAACCAGGAGAGTGCATTCAGTATATTGCAGACAATGTCGACCATAATATCGACCATAATAATAGCTACCAAAACCCCAGGGACAAAGTGCTGTAAGCCTGTACCTAGAGAAACGGTAACCACTGAGGACATCGCTGCTGTTGGACGCATCAACATTGAATATTTCAAAGCATCTACAACTGTACAACCTCTGGTCTACCAGCCGATTGTGAATTGGGGAACAGAAGATCCAACATCAAACATTGATGTGTTGTGGAAGACATCTTTACTCCTGCGGTCCCCAAGGCCTTCTTGGTCCGGAATGATGCAGATGGTAAACAAGGGCAACTACCCTGGACAGTCATCTGTAATGTTTCTCCCCATGATTGACATGAATCCTAGTGATCCATCTTGTGTCTACTCCACTCTGCGTTTTGTCTGTGCCCATGCTAAACAGTATAATACTACACCTGTTCTGACTTTTGATCAGCCGCTTTGGTGGAAGGCACTCACAATAATCAGGAGCCAGCCAAGTGACAGTGACTTGAAGCAGATCGTTCTGAGACTTGGAGGATTGCACACTGAAATGAGCTTCCTGGGAAGTATAGGGCATTTGATGACGGGCTCAGGACTCCAGGAACTTCTTGAAGTAGTGTATGCCAGCAACTCGGTGAGCCATATGCTGGGTGGAAAAGCAATTTCTAGAGCTGTGCGGGGCCATTTCCTCGTTGATGCTGCGCTAAATACCATGCTGATAGCAGACTTGTATAACGTACAACTGCCAACTAACGAGGAGAAACCTCCGGAAGTTCCTAGTGAGCAGGATCCACACCCATGTGTTCCATGTGGAGTAGCTTATTTCGGGGAGCAGCCCACTGGAGTTCCCTCTGGAACAACTACCAACGACCAGCAACTTCCTAATCTTCATTGTGATGTAGCAATTGAAGAGGAGCAGATTCCTGAAATCAATTGTGATGCAGCACATGTAGAACAGCAACCTCCAGAAGAGGTGCATGGAGTAGCAAGTGGGGGAGACCATTCTTCTGAAGTTCAGTTTCCTTGTGGTACAGACGTAAATGAACCTGCAACAGATACCATGAAGGAACAAGATATCAAGGAAACAGATTTGGGAGAAGCACAAAAACTGTATGATAGACTCTTGTCTGCCACAGCATTGGTGGGTGAAATTTGCTCCTCTGAAGTCATCGACCAAATTCTTAGGCAAATAAAGGCCAAGAAGGAGACCTTGACCACACGAACAGCAGTTCTCTGGTTGCAGTATACGGACATGATAGACATTTTGTGCAAGTTTATCAAAGCTGAGAGAACAGGAAACTGGGAGCTTCATCTGCAGGCTATCCATGACATGCTACCATATTTTGCCGCTTCTGGACACATCCTGCATGCTAAATCTGCCTATGTCTACTTGCAAATGATGCATGAACTACCACACACACACCCTGAAGTCTACATGAGATTCCGAGAAGGGTATCACGTAGTAAGGAGAAGTGATCGCTACTGGGCAGGACTGTCTACCGATCTCATCATAGAACAGGTGTTAATGAGAAGTTTAAAGACAAGTGGTGGTCTTACAAAGGGCAGTGGTATGTCCGTAATCCAACGAACAGTTTGGCTTCTGTCAATGCCAATACATGCAGAAGTAAACGCCGCAATGCAAGATCTTACTAATGCTTACCTCTTCACAAGTGAGCAACACAAAGATGTATCAAGTGCCAGACAGAGTAGGGATGTTAGCGACACGCTGGAAATAATGAACTACCTCAGCCAACGTAATCCATTCAGTCCAGACACTACTCTGCACAGTATAGCAAATGGAATGACTGCAGATGAAACTGTAAATGTAGACCAATCCAAAGACGTCGGTAACAAGATACTGAACTCCATGGCTGGAAAGAAAGTGGATGAACATTCATTCAAAAGAAGTGATCAAGTAGTGACATTAGGTGCAAGGACTGCTGTAAAGATCGGCGATGAATCTGTTCATGTAGACCCACAGCTCCTTTTCCAGAGACTGGTCATTGTCAGTAGGAAACGTGAAGATACTTTAGCATCAGTTTTCAGCTACGAGTTATGCAGTCACCCCCCTGCTCTGTTTGAATCATCATGTCTCCCCCTACAAGCCGACAAACCAGTCCTAGCAGATGCACTTTGGAAGGTGTTTGAACATGAGCTGACACGAGAGCAGACACTACCCAGTGGTGATGTTCATTATGTTTTGGATGGTGGTGCACTACTTCACCGCTTTCCTTGGCCACGTGGGAGCACGTTCAACAACATATGCCAGCTATATGTCAATTATGTCAGCAGCAAATATGGAAGGGCAACGGTTGTTTTTGATGGCTATCAAGGCAAGGACGCAACACATCTTAGACGATCAGGAGGTTGTCAAGGCCTGACTGTCAACTTTGCAGAGGACATGGTAATCAAATCCAAGAAAGACGAATTTCTTGCAAATGAAGTTAACAAGCAACGCTTCATAAACCTACTCGGTTCCAAGCTCGAAATGCATGGTTGCACTGTATCTCATGCAAGAGGAGATGCAGATCTCTTAATTGTTACTACAGCGGTAGAAGCAGCTCAGTTTAAAGACACAATTCTTGTCGGGGATGATACAGACCTTCTCATCTTGCTGATCTACC